CTATGATCTTTCCAGTTGAGTTTCCAAGTTGTTATTTCAATAGCTCGGCGAGTGAATCCCGACTGAGGTGAGAGTAACGAAGGATTGACGATCATTTAGCGACTCTGTTCTGCTGAGTTGGTGGACTAATCCATCACAAGGCTATCCATCTCTAACTTTTCACAAGGTTCAGTAGGCGAGCATTTTTTTACTTCTAATCCAACTTAAGCCCCTATTTTGCGATTCTATCAAAAACAAGCAATTATTTGCAATTTTTGCTAAAAAATTTAGGTTTAGAGTATACATCAAGCACGAAAAAGTCAACGATTTCACAATTAAATTCAGTTTATGCAAATTTTTTGGATGTTTATCATCCTGTTAAAATCATGACCTGTCGCACGTTACGTTCGGTAGGACACAAAATAAACCGTTGAGTGTCTTGTTCCATTAGACTTAAGTGTGTCCTTAAATTCCGCCCATACTTGCCAGTTACCCCTCTAAGCTAACTTATAAGTTATTATTCTTGACTGATGTTAGCAATAGTTGTAAAGATCGAAAATAAAACTTTTAATTAACAATCATATAAGTATCAAGAAATTTAGCTTGTAACCTTTGAAATTTCGGGTAGCAAATATTTGGATTTTTGGCATTTTCAAACAACTTTATATTATTTCAGTGCGCAACTTTCGAGCATTTAACAAGCACAATTGTGACAGACTTATGGTGCCATGGGGGTTGGTGGGAGAAGGTTCTTGCCCGTGAAAAGCTAATGGGGATGTGCCGCTGGATGGGCTCGCAGTTTCACGACAGGATTGACTCTTATGAGGTTGCATTTTCAATAGAGTTACCAGAATAGGGTCGCACATTTTCGTGATTTCGGAGATATGAAAATTCGGGCAGGTGGGATTTAAACATTGGAAGATTCGCGATTAAAAGGCGTTACCGTTGGGATCGGAAAAATTACATTCGCCCTAAGATGGAGTCTATAATGGGCCCCAGAATAGACCATAGCGGGGTAAGGGTTCTGAGAGGCCAACGGCACAAAGTCAAAATTGATTCAATTACCCCCCCGGACCATGGCAAAGTCCAACATCAAATTTGTCGCCCACAACATTTTACACACGATCAGACGACAGTTCACATGCAGTTCACGCTACTATATTTCTTTGCTTCGTTTTCTGCAACGAAAAAAATTACGAGAAGCCTATATTTTTCTCCTCCCTTCCTTTTCAGTTTCTAACTGACAGCATCTATAAATATCGCAATCCACGGCACAATGCGCTTTTGAAATAACGCGAGAATCGGCTGGCAACCATTCACGAGCTGATATAATTAATGTGCAAATTTTCATTTGAGATAAATAAATAAAGATGAGAGACATGGTTTGTTTCTCACCTTTCGGTATTCATAGCTTTCTATGTAGCTTATCTTCATGAAGGTTTATAAAGAATTTTCCTCGATTTTTCTTGGGAGGAAATATGTTTTTTCCACTAGCCTATTCTCCACACTCGTCTGAAATGGCCCGCCTCAGCTGCGTTCTTGCGCGGCAGCTTTTCGTTGCTGTGCTGACGATGTTTAGCATGTTTAAAACTAATTAACTCTTTTATAAAAGCGATCCTTCTTGAACTGTCCAGGTGCTTATTAAAATCGACCAAATTTTTCTATGCAAGGGTAATCTGTTTTACTCTAGAATTCGTAATCGTGTCGCCTGCGAATTTATTTCATAAAATCCCAAAATCCGGAGTCCAAGGTCTTCTACATGATTGTGTAATGATTCTGAGAATTTTGAAATTTATCGGTATACGTCTAATCCTGTCTTTTGCAAGGAGAATAAACAAATTGGTAATAAGGCATATGGCATCACTCAAAGAGCAATCAATATGCTAATCTGAACTGCCGTAATTTCACAGTTTCAAAGTTACGAAATGCGCTAATTTCACATTGCAATTAGTGATCTCTTTCAAACGGTGGGACTCTTACAGCATACAGCTTTTTAGCAGGTTTCAAGCTCTTGATGTATCTTGTAAAACTTGAGAAGATTTTTAAGAAAGCTTTTAAATAGCTTAAGCTTGGTTTCACATCTGTTCCAGTAAACATGTAAATGCAATTACACCCACAATCCATGAGAATATAAAAAACAGCACCGTTCATTTGACTGTTTACTTTATTAATACGCGATTTATCATTAACGCCATTTCAATTTAACTCAAAGGAACTTGCTACTAGCTTCGATCGACCTCTTACAACATAATGCCCACCAAAGTTTAGCAAAACTATTCAATAACAGGATTATTTTATCAGTAAATAAAACGTAGGAAGGAAATATATAGGTCAAGAAAAACAAAGGAGAGCGATCACATGTAAAGCAAGAGAATAGAGCGCAAATTACTTACCTAACCCAACAATTCCGTTCCACTTAGCTTCGTGTTGTCTTCGTTCCTTAATTTTTGTTGTAAGAAAACGCTGAAGTTTGATTGCACGTCAAACACAGAGGAGGCAAATTTGGAGCGACTTCCTGTTAAGATTCCCGTGCAGATCAACGCGACTGATTGCGTTACTAAGTTAGAATAATGTTTTGTATCTATTTGCATATCACGCGTGTTCAACAGACCGAACACAATTAGCTCAGATTACGAAGAATGTCTCTACGTGATGATAAACAAGATAAGTGAGGTGAGATCCTTATTTTTAATAGATAAGGTAACTTTGCTATGTCGCACTCAGGAAACCTCCCTAGAATAACAATCTCAACGTATCGGACGACGTATCGGTGTTATTTAATGAATAGAGAAGCCTTGACTGTGCTCTGTTCTGTTATAAAGCACGCAGGAAGCGGCTAGAGCACGAAAGAAGTGTAGGGAGAAACACGAGACGTAGTCGAGTGTTTCTCCCCACTTCTTGAGTGCTCTAGCCGCTTCCTAAGTGCTTTATAACAGAACAGAACACAGTCAAGGCTTCTCTATTTGTTTTATAATAAAGAATCCGTCAAATTCCCCATGCATTACTTCCAATTTTCAAAACAAACTTTATTTCCAAAGCGAACAACAATGTCGTCAGCATGCTCTATACTCTCATAGAGCACGCTACAATAAGCCAATCAGAATCCCTGTTAGAATGGTTCAAATAATCTAATTGGCTCTACAAGACAAAAGCTGTCAAAAGTGTCAAACCATCAAAGTTCACAATCTGCGATAGTTTACCAACTAAAATAGTTCGGCAGGTCGATTTTAACGCTTTTGCCTGAAGTTTTTAATACAGAATCTTCAAGTGAAATGTTCAGTGAACTTCAGCCGAATTATGGCTCATAAAAAACACGCGAGTTTTTTCACATTATAAGGTAGAAAACAAACTCTTCAAGGCGAGTGTTTTTTAAATGAACTACAGCCGAATTCACCGGAACATGAAGATCGCTCGGGATGACAGCGCCGCAAAACTCGCCTTTGTTTGGTTCTTCTGTTGCTACTTGCCGGCTCGCTTGTTCCGAAATTTTACTTTCAATTATCGGAAAAAGCTAAAAAGAAGTCCCAGAAAGGTCGAACATAGTACAATTTGGCAGATGGCGTGACAGCTTTAGCTCAGTTCTATGCTCTATACTCTCATAGAGCATGCTCTTTCAACCAATGACAGCGCGTGTTATATCCGAACTTTATTATAATTTGAGATAGAGATGGGCTTGCTTTCAGTCTCCGCTCTTCCGTTCCTCCTCTACGAAAGACGAGCCCGGGCTCAATTTCCAAACAGCGGCTATCTTAAGAGGGCTGGCAAGCGGACAACTAAATTATTCCTAAGAAGTTGTTTACACGAAAGAATAATCCGGTGAACCAGGGCCAACCAAGAGAGGAGTACGGACGCATAATTTCTCATAAGTATAAGCTGCGCGTACCAAGTTGTTCAAAGGCCGTTTACAACTGTTTCACTCCCAACTCGACAAACTTAAATTATGCATCTTTGAAAGGTCACAAATTATTTTAGAAATCTGGCCTAACCTGTGCTACAACCTTGTTCCCAGGGTCCTCTCTCCTCTTCCCATGCAACAGGAAGAAGAGAGAGGACCCTGGGAACGAGGTTGTCCGTTTCGCTCTTACAAAGGGCTAACCGGCTCGAAATGTCAGCTTTGAAACTCTGCACGGTAGCCAATTTGCGTTATCAACTCAACTGATAATACTAAATTATCCTGTCTTTACTAAAGCAGGAGCCCAAGTGATGGGCTCCTGACTAGAGGTAACAACCCTTAATCAGCTATGGCTCCTTTCATGAAGAAAAAATTGAATTGATTTATCAAAATTGTCCGACCTGCTCAGTCAAATTCAAAAGGATATAAAACATTCTTATGGAATCGCACCAAATTTCAACAAAACTCAGAAGTTCTGACAGAAAGATACAATAATTTTTTGAAGTAACTAATCTGGTTATTGCATTCCAACATATAGCTTTTTTGTGATGAAGGGGGAGAGGCAGGTACTTTTATTTGTTTATTTTTTTACGAGAAAATCATATATTATTTGATAAATCTGTTTGATCAAGTGGCATCCTGCGGTTCGACTGAATGTGCCCAAAACAGAAAACTTCTCACCGTAAAACAACCAAGAATTACAGGCACCTGAACGATAAAATTTTCATCGAGGTAAGCAACGGTTACTAATTTCAAAACTGAACAATAACAGGTACCAGGTGTTTTTGTGACAACTCAGTATACATGTCGCCTGGGAGTTGGGGTGGGTAGGATATCTGGGGAGGATCACATGGTTTTCAGGAGGAACTAAGGGGGGATCAGTCGTCGCTGACAGAGTGTAAAGTGGGGGGGGGAGATATTGAACGCAAATTAACTGCCAATAAAGAGAATGATTAGAATACTTCAGAGTCTTAGGGTGGATCAGGTAAATTTTCTCGAGACACAGCAAAAATCCCGACCCCTCCCCCCTCCCTCCCCCCACGCCGTGATTAACGGTGGCTGATACTTTTGATATGTGCCACCGTTATATTTGTAAATTGTAAATTTTGCTCGGACCCCAAAGATAATTATGCACCTATTGTTTCCTACCCAAAAAAAGAATTCTATGGATAATTTGTGTTTCTACGTGTTTGGTGTAATCACCTTCTTTAATATGGAGATGTTGTTTATTGCATCGCAGGATATTCTCAGCGGCCGGAATCTTCCCACAGCTACGATATTAGTCTGTTACGTAACACCCTTGATGATCACGAAAATTTTCGCGCCGTGGTTTGTTCAAAGGATTTCATACTTAGTAAAAGTTTCTTTCATCGCTCTTTGGATGATGCTTGGAATGGCTCTGATCGTTTTCGTGGAAGATATTAGAGTTAAACTTGTGGGAATCACTTTAAATGCGATGGCGGCTGGCATGTCTGAAGTAATATTCCTTGCTTTGACTTCGTTTTATACTCAGACTGCCATTAGCTCGTTCCTTGCTGGCACTGGTTCGGCTTCTCTGATCTCTCAACTCTATTACACAAGTAAGTAAAACATTCTCAGTCTTTGTTTACAGCAGCAAAGATTTTTAGGAACTCATCATACAGTACTTTTGAAAATTAAGGGACCGATCATTTTTTACCGCTGTGAAAAGAGGGGTTGAGGATTTTGGGGATATCATATAGTTTTTATGGGGAACGGAGTGGGGCTCAGTCGTGACCAACAGAGTATTAAGAAAGGACTGCAGAAAATTGACAGCCACTTAACTGCAAATGAAGGGGGTATCATATTTCAGAGCAGGTATACAATATCGTGACACAAACAAAATCCTCCGATTCTCTCCCCTCCACATTAAAAGTATCAGGAAAGAAAAAAAAACTCTTCTAGTTTTTGAGTTGATACCTACACCAATATTTCAAACTTGACTTCGAGCCCGTATACGTTATTTTAACGTACGTGATTTTCGAGAAACTGGTACCAGGATCGCAAACTAATTCAATTTAAAACCTTTTAAACCCTAATCTTCCCGGCTTCCAGCAAACAAACGTTCGGTCACGAGGGGAATAAAGAGAAACAAAGGAAATCTTGCCCCAGTCCGGGCCGAGTCTCTTCTTTATTTCTGTCACCTCCACGCTCCTTCCTTATAGAACCTTTCCTCTCCCCGTTCAATTAATCAACCAAAAGCTGGAACAGTCTGCCGTTGTCCAAGGGAATCGTATTTGTTTACCACGTGAATTACTGCTGCGCGCAGTAGAAATAACCATGATTCAAAAGAAAAGAATAAAAAAAAAAACATATCAACCCTTTCACTCCCAAGACCTCGTTACTAATTCTCCTAAATGACCGCCATACAATCGTAATGATTTTAGTTCTGAGGATTTGTTATTGGAGGAACTAATAATCCCCTAATTGATATTTCTCTTTGTTCTCATCACTGGTCTGCTTGATATTGAATGGATATTATGAGAAGAAATTCTGTCTTCGTCACTTATTTCCTTCAGGTGTTACAACGTGGAGTTGTGCGGAGTCTCCTAAGACCGCCATAATGATAGTGATCCCGTTGCCCTTGTCAATCTTAGTGTCTTACGCAATGCTGGACAAGGGAGACATCTCGAACGGAGAAGGCCTGGGTACCAAGGTGGTGAAAAAAGCAAAATACACTGCAGTCTCCATGGATGAAGTCTTGATTCCTTCCCAAAGACTATCTTATGGCGAAAAATTTAGGATTGGTCGAAAAATCCTTTGTTTCATCATTCCTCTATTTTTTAGTTTTTTTGCAGAGTATCTGGCTAATTCCTCTGTGATTACTACGATTGCCTTTCCTAATTCTCAAGTTCTTCCGCGAGATCACTTCCTATATTACTCGCTTTCGTATTGCACTGGCAAGTTTCTGGGTAGGAGCTATTTGCTTTTATTCGCTTGGCTATCAAAAGACCTCACGGAGTTTTTATTCTGTGACAGAACGTGGATTTTCGCCGTATTGGAAATAGCACAACTGATTTTCTTCTTGTTCCAATCATGGTACCATTTTGTCTCGTTTATTTGGATAATAGTCTGTCTTTGTTTTACTCTCGGTTTAGTTTCCGGCATGATTTATTTGCACTCGCCTCATGCCGTCGCGCGGCACGTTGAGCCCGAGGAGAAAGAGTTTGCCCTGGGACTGATAACAGTTGGTAACTCTGTGGGTGCATTTTTTGGTGGATTGGTGGGGTTGATTGTGGAATCATATCTCGTGGAGAATTGCGTTGCGCAGTTCTCAAACAGCAAAGAGTTCTGTTTCACCAGGCATAAGAATACTTCCGGTTGGGAAAGTAATATTCACTGTTCCCAGTTAAAACGTTAGCCATAAATCGTTAAAAGAGAGACGGATTTCCTTCGTCGTGGTTTGTAAGGCTTTTTAGCGATAATAGAGACCAGTTAATATTTATCGCCCGTGAGGGAAGGGATGGGGGATTTTTGGCAACATGATTGTTGGAAGAAGTCAGTAGAATTTCTGTCCGAGGTTAGAATGACGTTAGATGTATTACGGGAAAGCGCTTAACGATTTCATTAGGTCTTTCTGTGTTTTATGTCACTCTGTTTTTACACATCTATCGTAAAATCATGGTGGTAGAACATGGATTCTTTTTTGAGACTCTCACAAAGTTATACTAGTTGATGGAATAGAAAAAAACAATCCTTTAAATTTTCTGAGTGGATCATAAAAGAGCATGATCGCTCTATGAGAGGGGTGATCGTGTATCAACCTCCAAATTCATCGCTACATAATATTTTGTTTCCTTATAAGAAGTAATTACTTCTTATGTATTCACTGTTCAGTGTCCTATCAGTTTTCTACGATCAGTTTTATCACGCAGGCAATCTTTTCAAGTGAAACAGGAACAGCTAATGTCCAAGGACAAATCTACGGGCATATTTTCGTGCTAACTGGAGGTTATTGTGTTAATTATCCTTCAAATATTTTTAAAACCTGCAAGAAAAAGCTTTTTATTTTTCGCTGATGAACAGATAAACCTTTCCCTTCTTCTGTAATAATGGCTAAAAGCTTTTTTATCGTGAATTAGATTTCAAACGAGCACTTTTATCCTCGTAAACGTATATAAGATTTGAAATTTGGGAATATCACTTGAGGTATATCCTTGGATATTTCCCAGGTTTAGCTGAGGCATATTCGATTACCTGATGTTTTTAGACCGATGGCGCGCGAGCAAACACATTTTATGGATTGTAACTAAAATTATTTACCAAAGTGGAGGTAAATATTAGTTGTTATTCACTTCCGAACACGCCAATCAACGCGCGCTAAATGCACTATTCACGTAGCTTGTGAGGTATGTCTAACATTAAATTCTATTGATATTCCTTGAACGTATTTATTAATTTGAAAATATCCACCCCTTCCGTATTTAAGAGAAAAAATTGGAGTTTGAAAGAGGGGGCTAGAGCTAGGTAACAGCTTCTGGGCAAGAGCCAGCTGTCACCCAAAGGAAAATTCCTAAGGGATTTAATAGGTCATACACTAAACATTCTGCAGAGTTTCCGTTCCATTCAAATTATTGTTGAATGATTTTTAAGCGCATTGAGCAATAATTTAAATCTGAATTGTTAGATGTCAACTACTTCTTTAGAAAATCATCCGTGCAGTCGTCAAAAATTAATACATTTTGAAAAATGACATGAAGCTGAGAACGCTTGAATCGTGAAATTGAAATTTCTTTTTTTATTACGCCCAGTGAAATCGTGAAATAAAACCCCTTATAAATAAAATATAAATATACCGTCTCGCCAAAATTGCGAAACTAACCACCCGCCAAATTAATGTAAGTTCCGATAAGGTGTATCATGTTTTACATGCCGCTTTCTACGCAACACTAACAATGCCTTACAGAGCTGTTTCTTGCTTGTCTCATTCGATTGGTATATCTTGTCCGTGTTCAAGTCAACCGTTCATCGCCTTAGTTTGCTCCTCTTTCACCCACTACAGGCGGTTGTTGGTCAAAAGCACTCTCTCCAATTTTTCCCGAGCTACAGAATATTCGCCTTTCAATTTCTTTAGCTTCTGAAAGTGTTTTTCGTAGCAACAACTGCAAGAAAACTACGCGAAAAAATCTCTCCCTAAAAACGTAAATCAGAGGATTAAACAAGGAATTCAGTACCGGTAACAGGGAAGAGATGGAAAATATTACATATCTCTTTTCTGCGGAGATTTTGTCCACATAAGCATTTATAATAGCTATACAAATATATCCTGGAATAAAAGACAGTAACATTACGAGTATTAGTATAAGTGTCGTAGAGAAGGCTTTCGTATACCCAATAAGCTGTTTTTTCGCGTCGGTGGTTGCACTGGTAACCATAATTTGCCTTTTGCGGCGGCGAACTTGTATATACACAGAAATGTTGAAGTAGAATATCGTGGGTATAACAATAAGTAGTATTATAAATACCGCTAACGTTGCCAGAAACGGTCTGCTCAGTGTCTTCCTAAGATAATCGGTGGGAAGAATGATAGCCGCAATCCAGGCAATTCCCGACGCAAGGAGGATACGAGTCTCAGTGACCATGTTTGAATACCGAAGGGGATAATGTATACCGATGTAGCGCTCTGCGCTGATAAGGAACAAATGAAAAACCGATGCTAACACACATCGAATGCTGACGACCACTACCACGTCAACTAGCGTGCAAAACTGGCTGTTATGAGCTTCACCTTTGATCATTAAGATGTACCTGGCAATTTGCAGTGGCTGAACAATGAGTCCAACCAGAACATCAGTTGTGGCCAGACAGGCAAGAGTTATGTTGGATTTGGTGCGAAGCCGTTGCTTGGTTTTCACCGATATCATCACCATAATATTCAAGAAAATGATCAAAGGACATGTGGTGGCGTTAATTGCAGTCCTGCTTATAAAAACAATATAAACAGCCCGTGAGTTTTCTGCAGCATCTGGAGAAATGAAGGGAAGTCCACAGTTTAGTAACGACTTGTTGGCGATGACTCTGTTCATTTTGACGCAGTAGCTTTGCTTCTCAGTAAGATTAGTTCTGTTTTTTTTCTTCTTCTCTGTGCTGTTTATTGATTAGAGTTTCATGGACTCTTCCACTGATTATTTCCTGGGTTTCAAAGCGGAAGGACTATTCACCTGCTTGATGCTAGTCCGCAAATTGAAAAAAAACCGCAAAATTCCAGACATTCTGTCTAACGTAGCTACGAAAAAATGATGAAATCGTAGAAAATATCATCGCAAGGTACAGAGTATCCAGTGAATATGATCTTCATTATCAGGATTGTAGTAAAAAAAAGAGGGAGCAAGTTAGTAACCGAGGACAGCTGTTTCTGTCTCATTAAGGGTCGATTCACGTAAGGGAGTGCCGGAGAGGAACGCAGGCTCATATTCCCGAACAGCGGTTAGTAAACGAGCCTATGTGTCATTACGCCTCGTCTAAATGGCTCAGCCAGCAATATGACTCATGGATTGTGGGAAGTTGCCATAACGACGTGATGATTACATTGTCTAAGTGGTAAATTTAAACAACGTCAAAATTTCAAAATGGAGTTCGAAAGAGGGAAACAGGTTAACAGAGTCACAATCCGCGGATGCATATGTTGCGAAAATATCGTCCATTCATTTTCTCCTTTGAAACAACAACACATGCAAGTGTACCCAACCTGTCAAATAGGCTTTTTATAATAAAAAAACAAATCAACTGTCCAAATAACCGTACAATTACGTTGAAGAAATGTAAAATGGTTTCCGTGTTTACATAGCCTGATGTAAACACACGGGAGGTTGGGAGAACACGAGATAAGCGTAGGAAACCACGACGCGAAGCGGAGTGGTTTCCAGCTTATCGAGTGTTCTCCCAACCTCCCAAGTGTTTACATCAGCCTATGTAAACACGAAACCATTTTACATTTCTTTTATAAAATAACTGATGAAAGAGGAACGAAAACCGTGTTTACATACGCTCATGTAAAATGGTTTTATGGCCAATCAGAGCGCGCGTACTATTTGAATTATTTTATAAAATATTTGTACTCTACTAACGCGTTGTTTGTACTCTTCTTTGTGCAACTGGATAATAATGACTAATATTGATAAAAACAATAAAAATAATCAAGGGAAAAAAAAAATAAGAAAGCGATCTTCGCTGTAATGAACACTACTTAGGCAGTAGTAAAAATAATGCCTAGACCTCTGCGACAGCGATACAGTACCCTACCAACTGAGCTGACAAGCCAACTCGGAGCTGGTCATTTTGATGGTTCGTAATAAACTCGTTAAGTGATGAAAAAATGACCGTAAATATATAGTGATAATGATGATAATAAAATAACGACGAACGATGATATCAAAAGCAATGACAGAATTGGTGTTGGAACAAAATTACTTTTACGATCTATCGCTATTGGCGAACGTGTAAGATTTTTTACAGAAAACTCTCACTTTACCCTTCCTTAATTATCACCATAAATCTCAGAATCCCCCCAAGCGCAGTTCAGGATTTATTAGAAGAGCCTCTGATAAGAAAAATTCCTGCGCGGGAGGGGACGCTTCCTAATGATAGGGTAATGGGGAATGTCGCTGGATGGGATCGCATTTTCACGACTGACTATTATCGAGTTGCATATTCACCACTGGATTGACTACTGTGGGGTTGCATTTTCACGACTGGATTTACTATTATGGGGTTGCATTTTCAAGACTGGATTGACTATTATGAGATTGCATTTCCACGACGGCATTGGCTATTATGGGATTGCATTTTCACGACGGCATTGGCTATTATGGGGTTGCATTTTCATGACTAAATTGATTATTACAGGGTTGCATTTTCACGACTGGATTGACTATTATGGGGTTGCATTTTCACGACTGGATTGACTGTTATGGGGTTGCATTTTCACGACGGCATTGGCTATTATGGGATTGCATTTTCACGACGGCATTGGCTATTATGGGGTTGCATTTTCATGACTAAATTGATTATTACAGGGTTGCATTTTCACGACTGGATTGACTATTATGGGGTTGCATTTTCACGACTGGATTGACTGTTATGGGGTTGCATTTTCACGACGGCATTGGCAATTATGGGATTGAATTTTCACGACTTGATCGACCATTATAGGGTTGCATTTTCATGACTGGATTGACTATTACGGGGTTACGTTTTCACGACTGGATTGACTATTATGGGGTTGCATTTTCAATAGTTTCAAGAATGGGACCCTTTTTTTGGGGATTTTAGGGGTAAGAAAATTCTAGTAAGTGGGGATTAAAAAATGAGAAGATTTGTGGCTAAAAAGTTGTTACCGTATGGCCAAAAGTGACTAAGATAGCCGGGGTCTGTAACTGGCCAAAGAATACACGACACAGGGCGGATATTCTTAAAGGGCAGCGGCACATACCCAGAAAAAATTGACCTAAGTATTCCCCTCCCTGGGAATTGATTTGTTTTCAGAGTGTTATTTAGGTTCAGAATTACCACTGCTTGCTGATTAAACTGCTATCAAGACTTTGATCATTAAGTTTTAAAGCTCCAAAGTTTCCCAAAAGTCGCCCGCCATTACTGATAAAGGGTTGGGCTAAAATTGCGTCTAACCCTTTAAACCTTAAGAGTGACCAGCATCTAATTTCTCCTAACAGAAATACCGTCGAATCATTTATGAAGATCATGAGAATAAAGGAAATGATCACCATCCTAAGAAGCTTTGATTGTTAAGTGAATTCTCCTTGCCAGGTATAAAGGAAATGCGCAGAGAAGGGTGAGGAGAATATAAATACTGATGTTATTTGGTTTTAGTTTTACGGCACTCAATTGAACAGAGCTTAACATACTTGAATCGAATCAACACAAACTCCAATCTCAGTATTCGTTTCATAATTCGTTTATTCATGTTTCCTCGATGTATTTACTTCATACAAGTAATCAATTTAACTTAAATGAAAGAGAGATAGAATTTAGAGAGAAACTAGCTGTAATCAGGAGCCCGTCAATTGGAGCCTCTATCTTCCAAGAGGGCATCTGCGGGGTTAACCGTCAACCGCAAAACTTAAAGAAATTAACCATTAGCCGCTGTAAATGTCCAAAATTTTAACCGTTAGCTGTAAAAGCCATCACCCCATTGAGACCCTCTTCCAAACGAAGCCTAGGAGTCATCCCTTTCCCGAATAGAGAGGGTACTCAGGGGAAGTTTCAGGTCCTAAGAACCAGTCACGACAATCCTACTGGTTTAGGTCAAACATCCGTTCGCATGCACTGGTCAGTGAAATCAGTTCCTGAGACTCGCAGTTGACTAAACGGAAATATGATACATCTCGCTGGAAAAAGCTCAACTAAAACTAAATCTACTCGGGAAAGGGTTGACTGGAAGAATCAGTGGAGATATAGGATCCCGTTGATGGGCTCCTGTGCAGAATTGCCTCCTGAAAACATCTTTGTGGTCAAAAATGATATTTCAACTTTTAAAATGCATTTTTCAAAGTCACCCAGAAATACGCTGGGCGACGTCATGATACAGGAAGAACTTTTAATTAATTTTCAAAAACTGAACGCTATTTTTTCTAACGTATAAATACTCTCACTCTGGTTCCTATTTTTGTAACCACGTCTTTTGGTTTTATTTTGCCAATTTCGTAAGTAGCATTTGCTTCCCCTTAAAAGTGTTTACAAAAATTAACTAACCCTTAAGTTAGTGTGGAGCTTAGATGTCTCAAACATTATAACCTAATTGGACATTACATTCAATTTTTTCATGTAAACAAATAATGTTAAATAAATATTGTAATTTTTTTACGCGTTACTACCCCCTCATTAAGTATTTTCAGTTAATATAAGGTATTTGTTTCGTGCATGTGGGCTGTGGCTCATGAAACGTTTATGATTCACAATAATGAACATGCTCAAACGTACATTCTCACTTCCCAGGCTCCCCACCCCTCCCCCCCTGAAAAAAATAAACTAGGCATTTTTTTGCCATGTTTGGACAACTCCGGAAAATGAAGATGGGTATGAATTGAAGCAAAATTGAACTTTTTAAAAATAATTTTGAAAAAAAAAAATAACAGGTATTTCTTTCTTTTATTTTGAAATTAACAATGGAAATTACTGTCCCATCCTGTGGTATTCCGCATCCGCGTAAAACAGAATTCTTTGCTGGCTGAGAAATGTTGGACGCACTCGTCCCTAAGATACGGTTCCACGAACAAGCCTACCAATCCGGCCGTGAATCCTCCCACTGCGTTACCTATAGTTAGCAGTCCCAAGGCGAACTCTCTTTCCTCGGGCTTGGTATACCGCGCGACAGCATGGGGCGAGTGAAGGACAATCATACCCGCAAAGAGCCCAAGAGTGGAACAGAGGGCAATCATTACCCAGATATACGGGACAAAATGGTACCAAGATTCGAACAGGAAAAACACCAGGTGTGACATCTCAAATGCTGCCAGAATCCACGTCCGATCGCACTTCAGGAAGTCAGTAGCTTCCGGGGGTAGACATGCAAAGACGAACAAATAACTCCTACCAATAAACTTGCCGATTCTGTAGGAAAGCGAGTAGTAGAGGAAGTGGTCCCGTGGATGAACGTGCGATTTCGGAAAGGCGATTGTTGTCACCACGGACGAGTTAGACATGTACTCGGCAAAGAAACTAAAAAATAAAGGGATTATGAAGGGCAAGATTCTTGCACCGATTCTCAGCTTCTCGCCGCATCGTGGTCTTTGGGGGACTTCCGTGGTCTGTTCTGTATCTTCGTTCGTTGATCCTACGATGGAATATTCAACCCCTTCGTGTTCCGTGGGCTTGGCGTGTGCGGCAGTCACAATATATTCCTTGTCCAAAATTGCGTAGAAGACCAAGATGAGTACAGGCAAGGGAATTGCCATCATAATGGCGGTTTTGGGAGAGACACAACCCCACGTGGTCAGACCTAAAAATAGAAAATGACGATATTTTCATATCACGCAATAGCGGGACTTGGTGATCAGTTCCTTTTAGAAGCTAATCACTCTAAGGGATCAAAGAATTTGATAAGTTTACGAGTCACAAGTACTGTATACGAAACATAACAAACGCCAGCAGCATATTTCAGTAACCATGCCTTTCGAAAACCATTGGACGTTTTGATAATTTTGTTACCAACACCATCTCGTGTAATATATTTTTTAAAACTTGATTTCTAGTAATTTTCCATAAAAAAACAATAAATCATTTTTCTTTTCTTTCCACATGGTAATGTAGATAGCATTCATGTTGATGTTTGAGTTATCATTCTTTTGCATTTAAAAATGATTGGTCGGGATTGATGAGAATAACCTGTGATCAAAGGTCTCTTTAAGTACAGATGGTCCAAAAAAAAGGGGAAAAAAAAAGAGACATAAGAGCGAGAGATGACAGTAACATTTGCTTGACAAGATTCGAGCAAATTTTTTCAAGAAGCGATTCGTTCGAAGGCTCGGCGTAAGTTTAACGAGCTTTGGGAAGAGAACAATCGAGATTTTCCAAGAGCCATTCAATTCAAACTTCTGATTTAGTGCGCTTTTCGATTGAAAGTCGTAAAACTAAAACCAAAAGTAATCACAACGTCTGTTTCACTTAAATTGCGAGCAATATTTCTTTTTGTCTGTTTATAAACAATTTGGAATCGACGTGTGGCGTTGATATCAAGAACGGGAAAACGCACAGGTTTATTACATAAAAAGAAAGAAATAAAAATATATTAGCTAGGAAAGGAAAAGCATTTTAAATTTGAGGAAGAGGAATTATTAGAATAAAGATGATTTTAAATTTAACAGCGTAAGGATGAGTCTCGGTGACAAAGCCGCGCAACTAATATACAAGAAATGATGTAGCATGCAGTCGATCAGTATCATTCATGATCAGTTTGCTCCAGGTCATGTGAGTCATGGAAAGTGAAAAAATTTACATGAACTGTTAAAAAAGGTTAGACGAGCCATCAGGATGTCTTGCTTGATGAAATGCTTTCAACTTTAGTTCTGGATTGAGTTGCTAACAAATTTTCTCGATCCTAGCTTAGGAGTTGTTACGAAATATTTCCAAATTAAGAGGAAAACGTATTTTGTTTTTCGCGAGCTCACAATAAGATGACACACGTCAATTACGAGAAGAAGGAAAACTCACTGAACCAAATCAATTAAAACAGCCATTTTTTTGAAAAAGATATTACCAACAGTTGTTGACCGACGATTGTTTAGGCTTGAAATCACGAATTTAATACATTCTACCACCATGAGACCATTTAATTACGATTGAACACGCCTGTTTCCAAAATGGCTCGTTCCTTGAACGGTTCAACGATGAAAGGAAAACCGACGCTCTTTTCTTAAAGGTGAAAGCGTCGTCTTAGTAAATCCGAAATTTTTGAAAATTTAGAATAATGAAATATGTACTATGATTTAAATTACTTAAAAGGGCAAACAATAGCTGGTACAAAGCAAAAACAGCTGGGATTAGCATTTTTGAGATTTTTTTTTTTTTTTTACTGAAACTTCCCAAGCGAAAAATGCCAAGCGTCTGCTTGAATAAACGAGAAACGCAATAGGTCAAGTGTGAAAGGGCCGAGCGAGCGGGAAAGGTGTGAATGCGCTTACAATATCTTTCTTGATGACAGAGCGAGTGGGCTGAAAATAAACAGCTGTTTCATTCGACGAATTTTTATATTTGTGAAAAGAATATTTTATTTTCGCGTCTCTCGAAATATCGCGAACACGACGAAAAAAATCTTGTTTAGCGAGAATCTTGACGGTTAAAAATTCCAGTTTGTTGATATTAAATGAAATGGCTCTTACTGATCCTAACGCTTGAAAAATTTAAATGAACGAGAATAGTCCGTTCATGACTTCTAAATATGATATCGTTCAACGTAAAATTGATGAAATCTGAATGAAACAGAAGCAATGAACTGAGAATATTTAACTTACCTGTGTAATAAAGTGGAGAGATCAGCGAAGCTGTGCCAGTGCCAGCAACGAAAGCACTAATGGCAATCTGTGGATAAAACGAGGTCAAAGCAAGAAAGACTACTTCAGAAACACCAGTCGCCATGGCGTTTAAAGCGATTCCCACAAGTTTCGCTCTCATATCTTCTACGAAGACGATCAGAGCCAGTCCCAAAGTCATACACAGAATGATGTACGAAGCTTTCACCAAGTACGGAATCTTCTGTATAAACCATGGCGCGAGTATTTTTGTAACCATCAATGGGGTCACGAAACACACAAGAATTGTAGATGTCGGAAGTTTTCGCCCGCTCAGGATATCTTCGGAGGCTGTATAGAGTAATTCTTGATTGAAAAAACTGAGAGTGCCGAAGATGAAGAAACAGAGCGTATTCAACCAGCTCGAGCTTGATTCAGATCGTCTACTACCAACATCGGGGCTGAAATAACAGAATATCTCTTTTATGCGACCCCACATGGTTTAAAACTTGGCTATTCGAAGTTTTCCAAGGTTAAACTCGCCAATGCCTTCGTTTTCACGGCATCGTCGCGAAAGACAACACGACCCTTCGGCGTCAGATCTAAAGCCAACGCGAAAACTATAACTTGTTCTTTTCTTCGCTTAAGTAAATCTAGCAAAATTTGAATTGCAGATGGTCGGCGGATGTCCGCCACAGGGAACTGATAACAATAGCTGCTCTCAAAACAAAGGTCATCTAATTTTGAATTGAAAAGAAAATTTGCGTAGACGCCTCCGATGTTGGCAGAAGTTTCCTAAGGGTAAAGGCTTGAAATTTGATAAAAATTTACAAGAAAAATGTTTCAATAAATTGGAATAAGAAAAATCAATGTTTAACTGTTAAAAATTAACTCATTAAAATTTACGCGGAAGCCCATCGAAAGCTAGAGGTTACCTTGGCAACTATCACATTACATCAGGGGCGATTGTTTTAGGATGCAAAATTTTCCATATAATTTCGTACTATTTACTATACTGTACTATATTCCCGCGTTTTCACTTGCGCTTTAAGAAAGAATTATACCGTCCGAAAGCGAGAGAGGCATTCAATTTGGCAGATGTGAGTTTCGGTTTTAAATGAGTTATTAAATGAAAAACCTAAACAGAAAGACGTCGACATTTAAATAACCATGGTGTGGCCAACCCTGAATAAATTAGATATTCAGTTGTCTGGAAGCCAATTCTATCCGATAATCTAAATCCCATCGTCTTAAGCGTGTAATATAGACAACCACTGCTCTAAATTGTTTAGAATTCTTCCCTTAAGAGGCGAACTTTAATTCTGCTAAATGTTTACAGATCTCCTGCTACGAGTAGTCTCTCTTAGCTTAGTAAGCCACCGCATGAAACAGGAAATGAAAATCGCTCCAGATTAATTAGTTGAACGGTTTTAGCAAGCAGCGCCGAGTTTTTTCTTTTCCAGCACACACTAGGAAGGTGGGTTAGCTCTAGGAGAGCGAAAACTACTAATTTTAGCGGAGAGGAAGATTAGTGAAACGAAAAATAATCGGGAATCAAAGGAGATTGTCAACTGGTGTGATTTCTTTCATAAGTTGCTGGTTCCGACAGCAACAATATAGACCTATTCAAAGAAACCTGAGCTTAGAAACCAAAACAAAGACGAGAAAGACAATAAAAAAACAAAATTAGGCAAATTCAGTAGTGGTGTCAAAAAACACTGTTGTGCCACGTCAGCGAGCAAGCGGGCGACAAAACTCCTCGCGGATTATCAGCTTACAGTTGACAAACAGAGATCTTAAAAGAAGGAAAAAAAAAACTGACGTTTCGAATACGTCTCTGCTTTCTTATAATCCAAATCTCACTACGGATTATTTTCAGTATCTGAGCAACTGCGCTCCCCCTGCCCTAACCTCACATCACCCCTAGCTTGTTATCAGTTGATACTGACATTGGTCTTCGATCCGTTAAAACAATTTCTCCTGGAGGAAAAAAATGCGCAAAGTTACACACCACCAAAAAAAACAAATTATTGTCAAACGGAAAAATACTCCCGTGAGAATCAAGTGTTTATATTACTCAGACTCCCTCAAAATAATAAGAATAACCTTTCATATATCATGCTTCTGAATAAATTAACAAGATGGAATATTTCCAAAGTTGCTTCTTTTTTTAATATGTTCGGCAAAATTTAACTCGAAGCAGAACCGTAACAATTTTTTTCTCGCAAGACAAAACATCTAAATCACCAATCCACAAAGTCAAATTCCCGCAGAATATTTGAATAAATGACAAGTGGGTGCCAGTCCCTTTATTAACTCAACATTAATCTTAAGTTATCTGGTTGACTGTCGTTAAGTTAGGGGAGGGGTAGGTGAAGCTAGGGAGTGGTAGGTGAAGTTAGCGGTGTGGTACTTGCGTAGTTGCTCAGATACTAAGATTGATCAGATTTTTCATACCCTACGAAAACAGCAACTTCGAATGAATAAACACAAACACAAAAATGAATCCAACTCAGACATCACACCTTTATCACAAAAAAGACACTGCAACTAATTTTAAGTCGGAAGAGCTGTTGTCTCCAGAGCCCCTCGGTTCACAAATCCACTGAGGAGCTTTGGTTAACTAACTTGTAAACCTACACTATATCTTTTAAAAATATTTTTTTTGAATGATAAACTAATACTTACTGACATCCGAAAGGAATTAAGTCAATCAGAGCCAGACCAGACTGTTCATGCAATTCCGACCAGCGGAAAATAAGTGTCTGACATGCGTATTACATTTCGTCAAAGACATAAGGAGATGTGAGCTATGCTACTAAGTTAAAAGCAGCGTAAATGAAATAAATTTAAACGCAAATCAAAATAAAGTATCAGTATTTCTCTAATGGTGATTGTTTTTGCCTTTCAAAAAGGCAAGCGTTCAGGAAATGTAAACAATAATGAAAGTTTCAAACGTCGTTTTAAGCTCTATTAAAACTAATACATAATTAACCCTATTGCAAAAAAGTTATAAACACTTAATTTATGAGCCAAGAATATCGTTGAATTGCCTTTTTTCCCACCCAAGGAGACGTCTGCCCTTAGAACAGCGCAAATAGAACGTAACTGGTAAATATGTTCCGCTCTAACGACTGGGTCAATTTCGTTACAGAACGAAATTTACAATAGGTGTCAAAACCAAAGGGTTTCCATGGTTTCAATAGAGAGTTTTCGATCTACGTTTGGTGTGTTCACCACAAACGTCAAACTGCGGTAAGTGGTTTGTGGTTAGAAGTTATCAGTTTTGAGATTTTCAGCTTTTTAGATCGAAGTCGGCTTTCAACCGGAAAAAATCAACATGTGCGCCGACATCTTGAATCACACAAAGGATGAGGGTCATTCATTTCAAACACAAAATGCGGCCAAAACGGATTGGTTATATATTCATAGGACATACGCGATAACTTTTGAATAGGAAGGGAAAAAGGATCGAGGGAGTTCAAACGTGGACGGCAAACGGCGAACGTGACCGCTGGAGTCTGGTCACGTAAGACCTAGACGTTTGCGGTCACACATACTCAGCTACAAACGTGGATCCTGGGAACTACCTTTGAATAATTACCATTTTGAATGGTTTAGAAAACTAGTCAACCAATCACATGATGCAAAATGAAAATTTAAATGCAGAGCGGGCATTATAAGCTCAAGTTAGCCATGCAGCTAATAAATTAGAATACAGGATTCGCTGCCAGTTATGTACCAAGGAAGGGCATTACCAGCTTCTATGCCCAAGAGAATCGTGGAACAAGATAACAGTCTGAAGTTTAAGCTAAATTCAACGTCTTCTACAAACTGTGCACGATGGAGTATCGTCACATTCTTCAATTCCTCGGGCAAATAAACGAATAAGATGGCGATGCACCCTGAAAACAAAGAGATAAGTGTAGAAATAAGTTCAGGATCTCAAGGAACAAATGATGGTTGATTGGAAAATCACAGTGTTGACCCTGTAACTCTCATGAGTGACCAAGACAGAATTTTCTTTACAATACCAATACAATATCAAGCAGACAAGCGATAAAAATAATCGTAGATAAAAGAAACAGGTTCGTACTTTACGTGTATGGCAGAATGTGTAACCAACTCTCCATCCACGTTCCAAACGCTCCTGGCGCGGGGTCGTGGCGTCACTGATGACGTTTTTGCGGCCAGCCGCTCTTCGTCATCATCTCTAGTTCCAGTCTCTTCACTGCCATCGTTTTCGTCACCAGGCTCACTGTCCTCACATAGAGGCCGGAAGTAAAACTCCCGCACGCGATGAATTTCCACGAAATCGAAGTTAAACTAATTGCGAGAGAAGAAAAACCACAAAATAATCAATAATTATTGCTGAGATCTAAAAAAATGAAAAAAAGCGACAATGAGCAAAAGAAAGCAAATAGAATTTCAATATTAACCTGATCTGCCCTGGAAGAGATTCTGATCATATGTCTAAGGTACTGTAGGCGTGATGTATGTCGAACAAGAATGAGATCCAAACAGCCGTCAGCTAGGTGAGCACTAGGAGAAAGACCTTCGGGACTCTTGGCGCATGCGCATGAAATATTTGCCCCAATGACACTGATGAAGCGACCTTTAATGGAACGCCAACCTTGAGAGAAAGCAGAATCGTAGTCAACAGCACAATTTTTTTTTTCTTTGTCAAACACTCAAGGACACGGATTAACAGCCTTCTTTGTATTGCTATCAAGGAAGAAATATCCATCGCAAGTTCGCCCCTTTACCCATTCGCCCCCAGGAGGTCGAGTTCACTCTATCATTACCCTAGGCGATGAACGGGTAAAGGTGGGGGCAACCTTATTATATTTGATGGGGCGAACTCGTGACTGGGGGGCAAATAGTTAAGGACGAGCTTGCAATGGGGCGCAACCTCCTGATATCAGTCATCATTATGCAACCGCCTTTCTGGTCGCAAAGGACGTTTCCAACATATTCTGAGCTTGGAACTATGAAGGAAGGGTCTCACATATGATCCTTGAACATGGCTTGACTTGCTTTTCCACGTTTTCCCGCCCTAGTGGCCGGTTACCTGTGTTCACGATTAATCGAAAACATTCGCGCTGCCTTCTCAACCAATCAGGTGCAAAACTTAAACCAATCGTGACTTGGTCTTCCGCGTTTTCCGCCCCTCGAGCCGGTTACCAATGTTCGTGATTCGCTTAAAAAACTCGTGTCACCCATTCAGCCAATCAGGAGCAAAACTTAAAACCAATTGTGACTTGGTCTTCCGCGTTTTCCCGCCCTTTGGGCCGGTTACCGTTGTTCTTGATTTGCCTAAAAATCTTGCACCACCCTCTCAATCAATCAGGTGCATCGGTCATTTGCGTTTTACCCACACTTGTTTAGCATTTGCTCAGTGCTAAACATTCCAACCACGAAATCTGAAGGGGCAAGTTAATGCTATAATCGTGACAAAACGAAAACATCTTTCTTTATTAGACGAGTGAACTTAAAATTAACCATTTCTCTTTTAGCCCTGTTCGACTGAGTGTGGTTATAGGAAAGAAAAATATCATAGCGAGCCACACAAATTGCCTGAAGCACGAGAAAACGCGGGTCATGAGCGGTTTTAGGTTTGCATTTGATTGGTCGAAAGCCTAGCGCGGATTTTCTGGAGCAATCATAGACCGTAGTGCAGAAAACAGCACTCGCACCCAGACCTCTCCATCCGGAGTCCAGCGTGTCAATCACCTTGTCTCCTTGGTAAAAAAAATATTTAGAAAAATTTCAATAATCAGTTCATTTAGAAATAACCAACCTGTTGTGGACTGTTGAAAGTCACGTTGCTGACCTGAGTCACTAAAATCACTACAGACATTGCAGCTGAGGAAAAACAAAAAACAAATAAAAATAAGTAAGGAAAAAATCGTCAACTGCGAGAAATAAAACCACAACTTAAGACTTAAGATAGGCGACGTTAGCTCTTGAATTAACAAGATAATTTGGTGTTTTCGATTGACTTGATAACGAAAATTGGTCACATTTCGCTCTGATGGAGAGATAACACTCCAAAAGACAGCTTTAGGAACTCTTTACGGAGGTCAATGATAAAACCAAATTATCTTGTTATACCCTTTCCCTCCCCTCCCCTCCCCCCCTTTCACACACACACACCGACACAGCACTTAGCGCTGCCATACAATGACACATCATCATATATATTCATAAAACAAAGAAGAAGTACAAGGCAACTTTCTCTCAGATCAGATCATAAAACGACACAAAACGATCATTAGCTCATAAAAAGGTTTAAAGCTCACTTACCCAGACCGACATCTAGTTCTGTCTCGTGGCGCATGCTCTGTATTTTGAGCTGGTAGAAAAGAAACTGCACCATCATAGCCCCTGTGCGGAGAAAAATTGAATCACAAAAATTTACGTCTAAGTACAATTTATGGACAAACTTTCAAGTGAGAGTGAAAAGGAATCTGTATTGGATTGGTTTGCTTCACTCCGTCCTGTGATTGGTCTTAAAATCTCGCGCAAACTTCTCAATCAATCAGGTACAAAGTTAAAACCATGTGCACCTCGGTCATTTGCGTTTTCCCACCCATGAGGCCACTTACCTTTGTTCTTGATTGGTCTAAAAATCTCACACCACCCTCTCAACCAATCAGGGGGAAAAACTAAAACCAAGTGCGGCTCGATTTTCCCGCCCTTACAAGTTCTTACTTTGAGTTCCCATTGGTTCTTTCAGATGCTGAGCTTTATTCGGATTAAAGGGACTAAGTTTCAGAGCGAATGGCGAAGGGCACACGCTCGATACGTCAGCTTAGAAACTCTTTACGGTGGCCAATTTACGTCATCAACTGAGTTGATAAAACCAAATTACTTGGTCCTGACTGGCCTTGCTCACAGCTGCTTTAGTTTGCATCTGATTGGTTGAGAAGATGGCGCAAGAAAATTAATACACAGTTTGAAGAAATCCGTTTGAATTACCGGTTTGTCATGAATTTTTTAAAGCCAGAAAAGTCATAACGTTTAGGACCCATCCAGCGAAGTTTCTCGCTATCCTGCATGACGTCACCAAAGAATCCATATGCTGCCATGACAACACTGTAACGTAATATTTCATTCTTTCGTTTGACTGAGCAGACATCGAGCGGCTGAAGGTCACCTGGTAAGATGAAAAAACAGCAAGTAAACCATAGTGGGCGGAGGGGAAGTGGTATCCGGGTGTCCACATTGTCTGACACCAAAGTTATTGTGAAGACAGGATCACAAGTTACAACTCAATAGGAATTATTAAGAATATACTTGTCTCAAAATGTTCCTTAGCTTATTTAGGCAATAGTGGGAAAAGACATTTCAGAGATTTCTTTGTCAAAGTGTATCTGAAATCAGCCCCTGCAGTGAGTAGTCAATTATTTCACTCATTTTTCTGTCAGTCATTAAGTCGATTGGATGGTTAATCTGATAGTCAGACATTCAGTTAGTCTGTCAGTCAGTTCATCTGTCAGTCTGTCAGTCATTAAATCAGTCAGTCTACCAGTCAGTCAGTCATTCAATTGGTCAGTCACTAAGCGAGTCACTCAGTGAGTCAGTCAGTCAGTGGTCAATTAGTCAGTCAGTCACTCAGCTAGTCTGTTGACAGTCAGTCAGTCAGTTGTCACTTAGTCATCAGTCAGTCAGTCAGTTGGACAATCACTCTTTGGTGTGTCCCTAATTCTACTAGTCAACCCCTTTGTCAGACCGTTATCATTCTACCAGTAGGTCAGTCAGTCACATTGTCAGTCAGCCAGTCATCAGTCTGTCAGTTGGTCATTAGCTATCATGTGAACACTAAGTTAGCCTGTCGATAACTTAGCTATTCATATTAGCTATTTCTCTGTGTGACCCTTGGTCAGCCTGTCAATCCCTTCTCAGTCTGTTATCAATCAAATAGACTTTTATCATACACCATCAGACAGCTATATGACCAGCCAGTCATCATGTAATTCAAGCAGTCACCACACATTCATTTGAATAGCCTCCAGTTTTCATAACTTCCAACTTTGGAATTTATGGTTTCTACAGAAAAATGCCTCTTCCACTGACCTAAAATTATATGCAGGGCTGAAGTAATAGGATCATTATTTCCAGTTGTGCAGAAAGCAATAGCATCTGTTGACCCTATGATAAAATATAGAAATACAAAAATTTTACAAAACTAATAAAAACAGAGAAACAACACCTAAACAACTTCAAGTATCAATAGTGCAGATCTCTTATTGGCTCACTTTTCTCAATGCCTCAACCCTTTAACTCTCATGAGTGACCAAGACAGAACTTCTCCTTACAATATTAATACAATATCAACCAGATTAGTGATGAGAAGAAATAATAATATCAATTTGGGGATAATTAGTTGATTCAATACTAAATTCCCTGAACTAACTTTATAAGAATTGTGTGGTTGACAGCAAGGAGGGTTTAACTTACTCCCTGGTGGGGAAATGCTTGTGCCACAGTAGTGATAATGAAGACCAACTTGTACGCTAATTTATCTTACGCTGTAGATGATTTTAGGAATAAATTCTTATCCTGACCTCTCAATCTTGGGTTCAATGCATTGATTCATGAGTCACCTTGTCTGTCACGATCAATTACAGCAACTGGAAGATATTTGACTCACCTGCAGGTATGATACCTATGGGAATATTTAGTGGTACAGGTTGGAAGTTATGGGATGTTGAATCCAACATGGCATCTTGTTGAGCTCGTATCAAAAGTCCGTTCAAAACTTCATGGAACATACCGTCTCCACCAACAGAGATGACACTAAAAAAAACATTGGAGCAAGTTAATCATAATTCATGGTTTCTCTAAAAACAAAATATAAACAAGAACTTCTGTGGGGTGTTATTTTTTACCAAGTACTTCCTTCAATTGAAATTCAAAAAACATTTTATGATTTCCCTAATGTGAGAAAATACACCATATTTACTTTAACTTGCTTTAAAAACCCTAACCTAATGCAAGGTAGAACACAACTCTGTACCCTGCAATCTTGTAAAGAACAGTGGTGAAGCTTAGGGTAGAAACCTAACCTGGAAGCTTGTGACATGACCATAGCAGTTTTATTTAATTTGGCTTAAAATCTTTTCTCTTTTTTTTTAGTTATTACGTATTACACTTACCCATCAATTTTCTCCAATCCCTCTTTTAAAAGGTAATCTTTTGCATGATTTGCTCTCTGAGTAACTGAATAAAACAACAAGTAAAATATTATAGAATCATGATCAATTGTTATTTTCATTGTTCTCATTCTTGTTATTATCATCACCATTATTATTATTATCATCAGCATTATTAATATGATCATTGTTATAAGGCCTTTGACTTTAAGAGAGACTGGTCTCTAATTTCTCATTATCAGTATCACCCTTGAAACAATTGGAAAAGTCATGAGAATATCAGAAATGATCAACAATCTAAGAAGTTCCTGATTGTCAAATGATTTCTCCTTGTCAGTATCATTGGAAATGTAGAGAGAACAGAAAGGAGAATTTGAATACCAATGTTGAGGTGTTAATCATTAGAAATGAGTACAAGCAACTACACCTGTAAAACTTCAGCCTACAAAAAGACACAATATATGCTCCTGGTTTGTACGCGTGGTTAATACTAATCAAAAATGTGATTTAAAAGTATTTAAATAATTCTGTATATACTAATTAAGTGCAAAGGAATTGCACATTCTACACTTTGCTACATACTCACCTATTAAATCAACCTTGATGTTGGCTAGTTCAAATAAGGGTTGCACCTGCTCTGTGTATATTTTACGACCTAATTTTCTTCCCCCAATTGGATTGATAAAAACCAGTAATCTTTTGGGCCTGTTAAAACCTGCATAGAGAGATTTGAAAAAAATTGAAATTTATATCAACTTAAATATGGTAATAAACCCCTTTTAAACAAAAACATTAATTTTGCTCTTGATTCCCTTTGGAAAAAGGGACAATAAGAATGATGGACACTGAGAAAGACTGTAAACAACTCTGTAGGGAAATTACATTTCATGATCAACAGTTATAATAATTTTAGAGCCTATTAATGTTAATACAGCTCATGAATACCTGAAAGAATGCTCTGTATACTATCAACCCATTCTTCACACAAACATTCATCATGGCAGTCGAACACAAACACTTTCTCTCTCCATTTGTGTTTCCTTGTTCTCTTGACAGCATAGACACAGAATGAGGAACTTTTGAATGAAGCCAACTCAATTTCTCCTTCTGTGGACTGCACAGTCTTTATTTTATGAGGCACAACTGCAAAAACCTCAGGCAAAGGCAAGGTCTTCTTGAAAAAGGCATTACCTGAAAAAACAAATATCCTATGACCTCAATCAAAGCTACTTAATCATTGATAAAATCATAACCAATGACACTGAAATGCCAGTACTTTTACCAACGTTAGTCATACAAAACCAACCAAGCATATTACAGGATACTTCCAGAGATTCCTTCTCATTTCATAAGCACTAGTACATGATCTTATCTTATAATATTAATAGGCAAAGACGTCAGAGAAGTCTGATTTAATCAATACTGTATTTCTTGTCATCGCATTAATCAGTTTTGTGTGTGTGACTTTTAATAAGCAACAGTAGGTACCCTGAAGTATAAAAGCCCACGTCTTGTGAGACATTTTGGAATCTTATAGACTGACTAGAGACATTAAGAGTGGAGGCAGACTTTTACTGATACTAAAAACAAACTGATTCACGCAAAAAAATTTTCTGTATGTTCACTAAGAACTATTTTTTTAAGACTCAACTCTTGAGATGCAAAACCCGATCCCAAAAATATTCCAGTACAATGCTATAGTCAGACATACATTCGAGATAATCTTATTGATATTGGGATAAGTCCTTGCAAGTCGAGCTATCACCATGGAAAGCGTTTTTTTTAATATAGCGACATTACTTCATGTTACGTAGCATTAAAATAGGTTCATTGCAATTTCCTCTGAGGTGAAAAACTAGGACAAACTTAGTTAATGATCGTATCGTCAAAATCGGCAAAAAGTAAATAACAATCAGATTAGTTTATTTTCATGAACTAAGTCCATTGAACGCAACTTGAATTCGAACTCGCATCGACGTTTTAACAGGAAATCTCCTCAGTGCGCAAAACCATTTGATTCATACAGAGTTTAATATTGTGAAATCATCATCACCATATGGGCGAACGAGGAACTTAAAGATATAAACTAATCGATTTTGCAATCAATCAGCACAGCTGAATCGCGCGATGAAGCTTGAAAAAAAAATTATGATCTGATTACCACAGACACACGCGATGAAAACATTTCAAGATTTTCTTACCAAGTCCAGATTCTTCTATACCCACATGTCCCCATGAAATAGATGTGCCTGATAAAATAACGTCAAAGGACTTGCCATCAACATCTAACACTGACCGCAACAAAACACAGCCGTCCGCCATGTTTGTTTCTTTCTCTGAAGAAAAGGAACTAGTTTCCAGTTCTTCAGGTTAAGCCGGTACAGGAAGGTGAAAATGCTACGTAAGAGGGCGGGTGGAGTGGATGGGGGAAATATAGCTGTTACGGATCAGTTAGCGAAAAAAAAAATAAAGAAAAGAATGGAAAAGCGTCGATGAGTGTTATTCTAACTGGGCATTTATATTTTGTTCGGTTTCCTATTTGATTTCTTAAGCTCCTTGTTCCTGACTGGGTTAAAATCTTTGTACAACAAAACATGCCATGATCGGGGGAGATTTTGACGTTTACGTTGCCCGGTGGAAAACGCGCCACGCGGATGTATTTGAAGGAGGGTGTGGGGAGGGGGAATCTAGAAACAACTCGAAACCACTGCTCTTAATCTGTTGAGATCTTAATTTCCGGCTCATTTTCTAACTTTGCCACAGCTCTAATTCTGCTTGATCATGTATTTGAACGGGACTCAAGAAGGACCTGCTGAACACAGTTTAAGCCGAGATGGGTGTGCGAGTTTAGAGAAAATCTAGGTGGATGTCGGGCAAACTTCTTAAGTAGAAGGAGAACTGGGAATTAATTGAAGATAACTTTTAATTTCCTACATTAAATTAAATATTTCGTCAACCAAAATGAACACGCAATTTTCAACCATAATTTGGTGGCGGATCACTTGTTGGTGAAATCTTAATTAGCCTATTTTCCGACTCAAGGGCCGCCGGGGGTGAAAAACATATCCTTTGACACAGCATACTTGCTATAACCTTGGTGGCGCATTTTTAGATGTTTCCTTTGAAGCAGGTCAACCGTGGCTATATCTAGCTTATTTCACATGCTGAGGGACTAAGATCAAGAGTTATCCCGAGTAGGACGTGAAATTTGCTGGTACTTCCTTTCACCGGGCAATATTGGCTTGATAATTGATCACAAATTTCTTTGAAAAGTGTAACGTCCAATCAAAATGCTTTGAAGGCAGCTAGCCTGAAAGGTGTTAATCGCCCTGCTCACAATGTATTATGGGTAATACAACATGGCGATTTCAGGGGTAAGCGGCTTGTCTACCGTTTCCCAAACATGACTTATAAACAAAGAAAAGAGCTCCTTTCTCCATCATCGGAAGGTACGAAATATTAGTTTATCTTTTTATTTCACTTTCACTTCCTATAATGACTATAATCAGGTCGTGGATTTTTATATTTGTGCATAGTACGGGGCGGTGCTTCTAGAATTTCGCTCGCTGTTGTGTCAAAAAAAATTTTTTGCCTGGCTAATCGCTCCCTTCTACTGTCCGTTAGCAGGAAATGACACTTGCACACACCCAGAGAAGTGCGGGAAGGAGCAATTAAACATCGACAGTTCAATCTGCTTTGTTGGTTTTTACATCAGAAGGATAACATGACAAAATAAATTTTTGTAGGTTTTGTTGAATTACTGTACGCCGTCGCGTAAAGTGCCTTTAAATTAATACCCGGCAATTAACCGATTCGTCTCTACATTTGGAAAGCCTAGAGGAGCGTATAAAATATCTTTTTAATCCAACAATACCGTAATTCAACTTACTTATTCTCGGATGGACTGGAATTTCCGAGACGCAGCAATTGTGAAGTGTAGTTTGCAGTAATGTGATTTTTTCTTCATTTGTAGACTTTGACGACGTGGTTCAAGTTGTTATGTGAAGTTGAAGTCAATCTATGGCGTAAAGCTGAGTATTTTTACCCAGGAAATGAGGAGAATCAAACGAGCTCTCTCACTCAAAGGCAAGGGAACAGATGATACACTTTCCGAACTTGCGGAGCAAATGTCATTCGATGTGAACGGCAAAGACAATGGTGGGTTACATTTAGCTTTCATGTAAATATATTAACCTTTCGTCTGTACCTAAATTATTTCGAAATTGATGCTCAGAGAACTTTGAACATAATATTTGTAGTTCAAACAGATCACTTCTACTCATTAAGCCTGCGATTTTATTGGCCATGGGTATTTTGCCCACTCCACACCGCAAAATATTGAATGACATTTTAGCCGATGTTGTCTCGATGTTTTTACTAACATGTTTGACGGTAGCTCGCGATTAATACAGATCCAAGTACTTAGCCAGATATTTCCTCCCCTTTTAAATATGCTAAGTTAAAGTATATTATTGATCCAGTGCGTAAATAACATTAAAGTTAGCGGCCTCGTATATGATTTTGCATCAAGTCTATCAAGCGCGAAAAGCTTTGATCTCGAAGTCATGTCTGTAGTTTTTGTTAACAAGCAGAAGAATTGAGTTTGCAGTATGTTTACAGGATAAACGCTTGAATAAACAGAACACTGATTTTATTTCCTTTTGGCGTGTTATATTTACATGATATCCAGTCTCATTTGAATGATGCATAAGCGAATCTCGTGTCTTAAGATTTTTTCTCACTCGTTGTACTGAACATTCGCTCACGGAAAACGAACATACTCCGGCTGAAATTTCCCATTTTTCTGTTATTAACATATTACTTTGTCAATATTTGCCGGATACTGATCACCCTTTAGTGAGCCGTAAAAATAATAATCTGACTGTATTGTCAGTTTTACGAGAAGACAGATTCTTTCGTGTTTACAAAGGTTAAAGGTGTTTTCACATGACAAAATTTACATGTCAAACGAGTGTTCTAATTGCGAACTTTCTTCATGCTTTGTGAATTTGTAGAATGTAGCCGCTATGTGATCTTGGTCAAATGTACCTCACGGCTTCGATTCAAGAAGATTAAGCATTTGCTTAAAGCTAACGTCAATTCTGTTACACTATGTCAATGACTTCCTTTCAGATATGATAAACATTTAAATCTACAGCATTGTGAGAGAATTCTCGATGCGATAAGCTTTTTCAACAGCTTTGCGTCTCCTTTACATAAAAGTCTCTTGATTAACTTGATGGTTAGAAATAAATAATTTATGTCTGTGGTTCAGGAATAGTTTATTTGTACAGATGTTTTTCTAGCAGCAATTTTTTTGAGATAAAATAGCACATTCTTGGGCATTTTTATAGAAGCAACTTGGAAAATATACTTCATGTTGCATAACATTTCCTCTGATTAATTATACATTTTGAAGATTACAGCAAGTAGATACCAAGAAATGTTTATTTTCAAGTATTTCTTACAAAAAATATTCATCTTCTAATGCAGTTTTAAATCTTCCTAACCCTGTCTTTTTCTTTGGGTCAAATTTTTTTTGAAGTCATATTATTTTGTACAGAACCATTGAATACTGCTGATAAATAATAACTAAATTTGTTTCTCTCTGGCCAATTAGATTTTTTCTTGTGTTAGATAAAGTTACACACTTCAATTTACTTTTTACTACATAAAAAGGTTTGTTTTACAGTATGTTTCATTTGTGGTGTTACCGCAAAGAGTGCACCCCCAATTAAGCTAAGTTGTGTATTTTGAAGAAAAAATATTGACAAGGGCTATACTTGAATAAAGTGCCTTACCTAGTTGTGTTTGATTCAAAATATTTACCTCGAGAGGGAGTGCTGAGTTCACAATCTAGATTGATTTCTATTTTTTTGTATACATTGTTCAGGGTGATCACTAAGCTCTTAGTCCTGGCAAATTCACCAAGCAATTGCCAGTTGGATTTTTGTCTGGTGATTGCTTAGTGAGGCACTGGACACTGCTATGGTTACACACTTGCAATTATTCACCATCTTTAAGCCACTTCACTTGAAATTTCAGGCGGGTGTCTAATTTCTTAAATGTAACCCCGACTGTTAGGGATTCTGTTGAGTCTTTTTGGGGAATGTTTTGACCAGGAAGTTCAAACATTTGAGTTTGTTGTTCTTGGTCAGTGTTGTGTTGAAATGACTGTTTGAACAAAATAAAGAAACAGAATGATTATCTGGTCATGAAAATGCAAAACTCCTTCAATCACATCATCAATCAAAAATGAAAAAAAAAAAATTTTTTTTTTTTTTCGAGAAACTCCTAAGTTTTCTTTTAGATTGAATAAAATAATAATCATTATTCACTTGAGTGTTAGGGTAAGAATAATACCTTTTGAGTTAAGAAGAATACCTTTTTCCAATGAGTATATTCTTTTTTACCTGGAGGGTATTTATTTTCTATAAGCTCTGTAGGATATGATTATCATCGACATTGAAGTAGCTCATTTTGCTCTCAAGTACTTGAATTTTCTGAAATTTGAGTGTTTGTTTTTTGAGTTAATTTGACTTAATCACTCACAAAGTAAAGTGCACTTGATAACTTTGCATATATTGTATTTAAATTGACTAAAAATGGGATAATTGTATTTATATTTTTCCTACCAAATGGAATAAGATATTCATGTACAATAGATCAAATTCAATTTATTTGGTCATTTTGTTAGCTAAAGGACAAATTATTTGCAAAATGGATCTTTTAATTTTGATATAGTTTAATACAATGTATTGTACATGCCAGCCTGCTAAAAAATAGGAAGTGATTATATTTAGATGCATATGTGCACCTCACAACATAGCTTAGATTCAATTATATGTAGATTTTTATCAAAACATGATTTCATTGGTGAAAGCGAAAAGTGTAGTGATGACTCTTGCTACTCCTTGAAAAGTCACAAAGGATAGCAGAGTACAGTACAAAAGTATAGAGTTCATCAGGTATGGTTACATACAAGCAAGGTAAACAGCAGGATGTTATTTCGTAGACCACATTTACCATGTTGATAAAGATATGCAAATATAAGGAGATAAAGGTTAATGTCTAAATGTTTTTCCTCAGCGCTGTCTCTTATTTTAAGAATGAAAGGTAGAAAAAAAATTTCAAATCACCAACAATCCTTTTATCTGTTGAATTTTCAAGAATAACAAGGGATTTTTGGCGGTAATAAGAGGTACATGTACTACAAGCAGTGAATTTTACCTGTTACCACCTGAAAAGGACCACACTGTTTTTCATTTTTTGTTTTATAAATAGGGCTACAGCACTCATTTTTTTTTTGCCAGGAGGTACTGTTTATGCAGATAAAATGCTTAACTTCCTCTGAGAAATTGCATTTTAGTTTTTGTTTTGTTTTGTTGTTAGGTATTTTTATTGATTCCTCTCAATTTTTTTGAAGGACTATTTGTCATATGGAAAGGAAATATCATGTGATAATCATAGTGTCAGAGTTGAGGGGATTATTTGACAATATTCTCTAAGCCCCAGAAGGATTTTTTTAGTTTTATCAAGTGTACTTATTTTGGTACTTTTCTGTGACATGCCATCTAGGAAGTTGGGTGATAAATCAATGAAAATCGTGTTGTGGATCTCCCTGCGATTAACCAGAGAGTTCCTCAGGGTTTTTCTATAAAGGACAATAATCATATGTCATTTACCACCTGTAAGACCTCTGACTGCTGTCTGTTTAGCATGTGAGCAGGCTCTAGTGTCTGGGTTACACCTTAAGGGCTTCCTTTCCACGCTCAGTATACAAAATATTAAGTCACCAGGGCTAATGCATAAAAAAGGGAACTGAGTGTATGAAGCTTATAAATTTCTCTTTGATTTTCCAAGACAGTTATTGGATCCTGTAGTGCTATAAACTGCCCAATAGGGGCATGGGGTTTTTAACATTTTGAATTCAATGAAAATGAGGTGTTAGAATCTGTCTCACATGGAACTCACTTCCAGAAGAGATCATGATATTACTGCTATCAAAAAGATTCCTTGTTGCCATGCAACTGTTTAGTAACAGATTACAGATGATGTCAAAATGTGGTTAGAACAAAAATTGGCATATGAGGTGCCATCAAGTGTTGCAAATGTTTTTAACCTATTTTTATGCCTGCTGCATTCTATTGCTGTACACGCCCACAGTCACAGGGAATCTAGGAGCATTAGTGATGAGATCTAAAAGGGGGGATTTAGAAGAGTTAAGATCATAATTTATTTATAGAAGTTGCTTGTGCTTCAGTTTTTCAATGTTTATATACAATGTTTAAAAATTACTACTACTATTTCTATCCAAAAAATTATGCTATTGACATTGCTAATCCTAGCAGTATGCAGGACGCATGTCGTATGAACTTTGTAATAGATCCCGCTCACCATAGAGTCTCTGTGGCTCAGTGTTAGAGCATTGAAGCGCAAATCCGAAGGTCTGAGGTTTGATTCCTCATGGGGACTCAGAATTTTTTCTTTGTTCCAAGCTCATGACAAGATGAAAAAACATCTTTCTTAACTTATTAAATATTAATACCTATATGTTCAATTTCATGTGTTACTAGGATTTGATCACCACAACGGACCATTAAAAGATGACATAGAAGGTGGAAGAGGATTTGAGGCAGCTGATGAATTCCTCCAGGTACCCATGAGGAAACCGCGCTCAAAATCAGTAAGCAACTTTATTTATTTATTGTTTTGAATCCTCTAAATCATTTGATTCATTAGTAAGAGATGGGTGAGAAACTGACAGTTTTTTTACATTTTGGACAACTTGGCAGGATGGTATGATTGGTCACATGCAGACCACACCATGTATTGGTGGCTTATCACTGTAGACATGAGACAAACAAAATGAATTTGTGAGGGTTATGAACAAAGTCTTAAAAACTACTGCAAATTCATTGATTAAGATTTCATTTAACTTTTTTTGAGACATTAAGACCAAGATGTAATTCAGATATGCAATTTTGAGAGCTTTATCCATAACCCTTTTTAGATTTTGTTTATCTTGTTTCAACAAATAATTAACCATGAACTCATAGTGTGGTCTGCCTGTGGATTGGCAAAATCCTTTTTTTAAAAATGGTCAAAAGAAAGAATTCTGAAGCATCACTGAAAAAACCAGTGTGAATTGTACATCTACAAATAAGGTTTTTTTAGAACTTCCTTAACTTCCTCCCTGAAGATGACCTTATCATGTGCTTTTCACCTGACTTCTTGACTGTTTACCAAAAGTGGCTAAAAATAGTGCAGTTTTTGTGCATTGTAGTATTGAAGTATAGCAAAGCAGCACTGTCAAATTGAACAAGTTTGCGTTGTAATTTGCTGATGCATACTTTTGCTGATGGTATAGCAAATTTAGAAAACTTGATCATTTTTTTTCCCTAATCACTCAACAAGCATAAATAAGACAATTAAAAAGCAGCAAATTATACAATGAGCATATTTTACTTCAGCAGTTTCAAGGTGAGTTTTTCAGATTCTTTTCCTACTTGAGGAAAAAACCAGTACAGAATTTAAAATGAAACAAAGACAGAATCTTTGCCATTATTGTTGTATTTTGATTAAGAATTCTTGTTATTATTTGCCTTGGTACTGCAAAAAATTTCAGTTGACTATCTAATTCAGGAATTCACAATTTCAATCTCGCACAGTGGTGTCATAGAAAAGTTCATTTTTGGACAATGGCTTTGAAAACCTGAATTTAGGCCTAGATACTTATTTCTCACTGGTAATGCTGTGGGAAAAATAGTGAATATAATTCTTCAAATTTTGCTTGAAACAGCTGACCAAAAAAAACAGAACAAATGTCTGCCTTATTGATGTTTTGTCTTAATCTTAAATATGTTAATGGTTTACAGAGTTCAAACTTTACATCTACCATGTGGGCATCTCTTTGTAGCTTTGCCAAGATTATCAGTGCTCCAAGCTGAGTTTGTTTAGTTTTCTTTTTCAAATTTACCATGTGGCAGTCAAGTCACAAGAAGGTTACGAAAAAGTACTAAAATTTTTAAAAAGGGATGAAAAAGTGAAAATAACATTTTGTGAACAATTGGTAAATTTTTTTTAAAATACCCCTTTCACTGTATTTTAGACCATTGACAAAGAGTAAAAAAAATTGTTACAGTTTTCTGCACTTCTTCCAAATACAAAGGGTGCCAGAGTGGTGACTTAACTCTGGGTAACTCCCATGAGTGACAAAGAGAAAATTTCTCCATACGTTATCAATTTAATATCAAGCAGAAAATTAAGTGATGAAAATTAAGGAAAATATCAATTAGAGAATCACTAGTTGATCCAATACCAAATTTTCCAAACTAACAGTACAAGAATTGTATGGCAGACAGCAAGGTATCTCATTTCTCCTTACAATATCACCCATGAAACAAACATGAAAGTCATGAGAATGTAGCAGATGATCACCAACTAAAGCAGCTCTTGATTGTTAAACAAATTCTCCTTATCAGCCTCTTTGGAAATGTATAGAGAACAGTATGGAGAATATGCATTTTGATGTTAGGGTGTAAAGGGTTATTGCTCTTTAATACAAATTACACACTGTAATGAATTATAATGCTTTCAAAATGTGACACGCCTCCTACAGGTGAGAGACAGGTGGTTAAAAGTTTGCAGGTGGTTTAATTGATTCAGTGATGATAAAATAGTCATGACATAAAGGAAAAAAGTGTGAATTTTAATATTAGTGTTGTAAGCATGCATGTGGAAATAAGCAAGGTTTGAGGTAAGGTTTGCAAGAAACACATGTTTTCTAATCTGAGTAAAAGTTTCAAAATTAATTTTTTATTTCTAATTTGATGTCTTATTGGATATTACTACAGTATTTTTGTTACCTTGCAAATGCAAACATGATGGTCTTGGGAATAATGTTATAGACAATTACAATACATGTATCCATTTTTGCTAATAGTTATAAGTTTCTTGAATTCATGAATCAGATTCTTTAGTGTTAAATGATTGGGGAAGTGTTGTTAACTGGAATGACAATAGCAATCATATTTGCAGTGTTAAGTGTGTATTTGACTGGTTACAACAGCATTGATGTTTAGAAAAAAACAGTTTGTGGTTGGATATGAAATAATTTATTGGTTACTGCTGCAGTTTTCAACTGAATATAAATTGCATGTTGCTTACTGTAGATGAAGTTTGATAGCAATTACAATTTCAATCAGATTCTTTAGCATTCAATCATGCAAGAAATTTTGAGAAGTTATGTGACAGAAGTAACCCAAATTGCAGTGTTTTTATAATAGTCTGGTTAATTCAGCATTATTATTGAAATTATGCAGTATGGTTGTAGTATTGAAATAATTTATCAGTTGCTGAAACAGTCTGCAACTGAATGTAAATTTTAAGGTATTTGAATTTGGTTAAATAACAGTTTTATAATGTTTACCATTATAGGCATACCATGCTCTTCATTCAGCAGGAAATTGAACATTTCCACAGATTTGTGCCTGGTTATTTTAGTTATGAAACATTTCTGTAGCTATTGCTTTTCAGCAGTCTTTAAGTGTTTTATTATTGATACTATTATTATTATTATTATTATTATTATTATTATTATTATCATCATCATCAGTGTGGTTAATTATTATTTAGGGGTGGCTCAAGGCTGGACTGTAAGAATTACCTAGCAATTGGGGGGGGGCACAGTGGTAACCCAGTAGGTACCTCAAGTGCCCACCTTCGATAAGCTTGAGCAAAGCAGCTGGTTTATTCATCTTTTTTTTTTTTTTTTTTTGGGGGGGGGGGGGAAATTACAGCATATGACGCATAACATGAAAAGTGTCAGTATTTGGCTTTTGGATAAAGTTCTTCAAAGGTAATAAGTTATTGCAATCAGTATATAGATGTACCCGTAAACTATCATGAGTGACGAGACAAGAATTATTTTCCCCTATCAATACAATATCAAGCAAACAAGTGACAAGAACAAAGAAAAATATCAATTTGGGGATCATTAGTTGATCCAATACCAAATTCTCCAAACTTATATTACAAGAATTGTAAGGTGGACGGTAAGGGCATTAAGGAGAATTACAAATGAGATCTCGGGAGTGAAAGAGTTAATCAAAGTTTCAAAATCCAGAGCTTAACTAAATTAAAGCTTTTTGTAATTATTTAAAAAAGGAATTTACTTTCCTTCATTTTAGACTGTTTCAGCACCTGGTGGTTCCAACAAACGACTCTCCTTACCTGTTCTTCATTATGGGTCGTCATTGAATGATATTTCAATGAGGAAAAGCCCAGCCCATCGTACAAGGAGCTCAACAGAGTTTGGCTCACACAAGAGTCCTCCCTTTGGCAGTGAACAACATCTTAGTCGAAGGAGCAGGAGGATGTCCCTGGTAAGTTTATGAATGAAAGGGTTGGTTGACGTTAGGCATTAATTTTCATCAACACTCTTACAGTATTACTTTTTTTGCGTCACTAAAAAAATTAATTTTTTCCCCTAGTCTGAACTTGGTTACGGAAAAATGGAAACTTATGTCAAGTTGGACAAATTGGGCGAGGTTTGTTTTTCTTCTTAGTCAAAACTATAACAAAATTCTCGAACGTCAGTCAATCAATCAATAATTTATTTGACCGCGTTATCGTCTAAGAGCACAAGTGCTCGTTCAAAACACTAACGTACATTAAATCTACAATTACAACAAAAAAATCTGGTATTAAAAGGAAAAAAAAAGAAATTTAAATACATAATTTATAATCTATGTACACACGAATATAAAATGTTATAAAAATTACACACACACAAAAAAATTTTAAATATAAAATTACAGCTGAAATGATTAGTTATCACCAGCCCGATTTGAGCACTAATAGGACAGTGTACGCGTCATGCTTGTAATTGGACAGTGTAATAGGACAGTTCACACGTCTCTATCATATGTCTGCCTGTGAATGTACACATATAAATGAACGTTTGAACTTTTTGGAATTTTTTTCGGTTGTCAGGGTACATATGCGACAGTTTTCAAGGGGAAAAGCAAGTAAGTTTCCGCAGCTACTTGAGAAAAAGTGGGTTGGCGAATGTGTAATAAGATTAAGAAATGTTAAAATTTTACATCTAGCACATGAATTACTCGCTTGGTAGACTAAGAATTAGCCTACTTGTAGCCGTACCCTCCCCCCGCCAAGGTGAAACGGCGTTTCCTTACCCCTGTTTCCTCGCCTCCGTTTCACCTTGGGGAGGGGAAGGCGTGCAGCTGCACGTAGGCTAACCGAGAATATTCTATCATTTTCTGTGAAGTCTGTCGCGCGAGTTAAAAAAATTATGCGATAGAAAACCTCGATATTAGCACGTCACGCGAAGCTCTCTTAATCTCAGAGCCCTGCGCGGCGCGTTACCATAAATTTTTATTTCGCTGTTTTGTTTTTTTTGGTCGTTTTTTTTTTAATTCGCGCGACGAAAGCCTGATTTGCCGAAAGAGAGAGCTCGTGGTCCAAATGTTTGCATTATTAAGAGAAGAAGAGTTTTTAAGCAAACGACCATTTTTTTTAAATGCTTTTCTTAGGCTTACAGATAACTTAGTTGCGTTGAAAGAAATCAGATTAGAACACGAGGAAGGTGCTCCATGTACAGCTATCAGAGAAGGTACGTGAGGTTTGTTTTTACCTTTTCCAATCTGGTATCAGTATACACATTCTCCATTCTATTCTCTAGACATTTTCTGTGGCACTTAGGAGGATTTGTTAGTCAATCAAGAGACTCTTTAAGTTGGTGACCTTTTTCTTTATTCTCGTGGTCGTGTATGATTTAGGTGTCGTAATGTAGGGAGAAATAAGATGCTGATCACTTTAGAGATTTAACAGTTGATCTAGTTTATTACTCCGCAATTACGCAATTTTGCCATATTGCGGAACCACCCTTTAACGTTGGAACTTATCAAGCTACGGCATTCATTGAAGAAATGTAAAATGGTTTCCGTGTTTACATAGCCTGATGTAAACACGCGGGAGGTTGGGAGAACACGAGATAAGCGTGGGAAACCACGACGCGAAGCGGAAACACGGAAACCATTTTACATTTCTTTTATAAAATAACTAATGAAAGAGGAACGAAAACCGTGTTTACATACGCTCATGTAAAATGGTTTTATGGCCAATCAGAGCGCGCGTACTATTTGAATTATTTTGTAAACAATAATAATAATTCAGTAACTTTCAACTCTATGCAGAAAATAGGAATTTGCTTTTTAGAAACTCTGTAGCTATCTGTCCCAATGACGAGTAACGATACTAACTTTTTTCTTTTTAGTGTCGCTCTTGAAAGATTTAAAACATGCAAATATTGTCACTCTTCATGATATTGTACACACTCCGAAGTCGCTGACGCTAGTTTTTGAATATCTGGTAAGTGGTACCATACTTTCTTCAGCCTGCAAAACAGCATAACTTTTTTCGCTTTCCTCTACGCGCGTTTATTAGGCGACCCGACCCAGACCTCCCTACTTTTTTCACTGCGCGCACCTCGTTTTATTAACGTAACGCCTGGAACCTACAAATACTCCATTGCGTCCTATTTAGTGGTTCTATTACCTTATGGGAATTGCTGTTTTGTTGTTCGATTAGGAAAAAGATCTGAAGCAATACATGGATGATTGTGGAGGAATAATGAGTATGAACAACGTCAGAGTAAGTGGAAAGGGCTTATTAGTTTTTTTCTGACGTCTGCAAAGTTTGCTGCGCGAAAACAGTTTTATCGTTTCTCTCACGCTGTACAATGAGTGGCGAAAGTTTCAGCCCGCTTTACTTTATCTTCTTCTTCTCCTCCTCTGAGTGGTAGGGTGGTTTCAGTAAACTTAATTTTTTGAACTTTCAGATATTCCTATACCAGTTACTAAGAGGACTTCATTACTGTCACAACAGAAAAGTCCTCCACAGGTAGGGCATAAAGAGCAAACAACTTTGCAGTTTCCCCAACTTTCAGAAATTTTCCAATGGGCTTCTTACACTAAACACTAAACACCCCAACATCAGTATGCATATTCTACATTCTGTTCGTCATATATTTCTCATGGTACTGAAGAAGAGAATTTGTTCCACAATCGGTAGCTTCTTTTGTAGGTGATCATTTCCTTTATTCTTGCGACCGTAATGTGTGATCCAGGGGGGATTTTGTAGGGAGAAGTTAGATGCCAGTCACTTCACTGGGTTCTAGGGTTAAGTGAAAAAGAAACTGAAAAACATTCATGTGTGAATAGCGACTCACTTGTCGTCCATGTTCTTACACAATCAGTGATCTTGTTAAAAAGTTGCTCCAGGAAAACTGCGCAGGTCAAGTTTCCGCGGTCTGTTTTAAGATAATCATAGCCTACGGATATACTCCTCAGAGACGTTGTCAAAGCTGTATCGTCAAATGATAAGGTTTAATATTAATTTTTTCGATTTCAGAGATCTTAAACCCCAAAATCTTCTCATAAACGATAAAGGAGAACTAAAACTCGCAGACTTTGGTGAGTGTGACAATCAAACACACAGGCTGTATGTATATCAGTGTTTAAATTTATCGCAAGCGGAGTACTGTAGGAGTGTGAAGAGTTACCAGTCATTTCGTATCCAGTTGATCCTTAGTCGTCCCCAGTGACGATCAAAAGTCAGGAGATCTCACGAAATACATTCTTGTGCTTTACGCACGAGAGCTTGAAGATGTCGATTGTTGCGTAGGACAAGTTACTAAAGAGTCAGCCAAGATGCGTTGAAAATTTTACCATTCAGTGCTTTACTTGTATCTATTCGTATCCATTTGTATTTCTACAGTTGACACTCATAGGTTTGTGCGTCTGTAAGTTTACATATTCTTTTGTCTAATTTTCTTACGCAGGAAGTTTCTTTAGGTAATCAATGTTTGCTTTCTCGTACTCAGGCCTCGCAAGAGCGAAGTCAGTACCTACTAAAACATACTCCAATGAAGTCGTAACGTTGTGGTAAGTCATGAAGCAAAATAAAGGCACACTGTAAGACACGCAGGGCTTATCAAAGAGGAGTAACAAGAATCCCAGTCGCTTTATGTTATCAAAACTGGTTCAAGCCTGGTTTGCAGGCTTTGAACCGATTATTAAAATAAAGTTTAGCCATTGTTCAACAAAACTCCGTCGTAAACAGTCCTCAAGTTAGCCGAACCTTGTATCTGAACATTTGATATAAAGAACAGTGTTAAGAGGGCCGAAAGCTAACGTTGGAAATAATAACATTTATTTCGTTAAATCAACCCTCTTATAAAGAATACCTGAGGCCCACTGCTTGCGTCAAACCACGGTTTGGGTTAGACCTCGTGTAGTTAACCGGCCCTTGATGCTTTACGGCTCCTTCGTGTAACATTCTTTGAATTAAGGAAAAATGGATGGTTTTTTTTTTTTTTCAGGTATAGACCGCCAGATGTTCTTTTGGGGTCAACGGAATATTCAACACAAATCGACATGTGGTATGAGGCTTTTTTTTTTTGTATTTTCAAGCCCGTCACTCTCAAGCCTTCAGTGTAGTAATTTTCTTGGGAAGAAACAACTGAAATGACAAAACAAATTATAATAAAAAGGCCTGTGGACTCTATTCAAAGAACTCTTTTGAGTACATTAAAACGGATTTTAAATAAGGAGATTGAAACAGTGAAGCGTAATTTTTATATAAAGGAGCATAGAACTATCATTGAAATCTCAAAATTCAAGGTGTATCGTAAGCTGTTGTAGTTCGAAAAAAAGACGTGAACGCGATTGTGTTCAAACAGTTTCAATTCAACGTCGAAAAAACCAAAGTCAAAGTAATTCCAGTGACCAGTCATAAGAAAGGTTTACATCATTAGCCAATGAGAACTCAAAGTTAAAACAAGCCAACTGCTTGAGGCGCGGGAAAACGCGAATGACCATGCCGCGTTTATTTTTAGTTTTGTATCTGATTGGTTGAGGAGATGGCGCGAGTTTTCTAGACCAATCGGAAAGCAAAGTCAACCAGAACCAAAGCAATCCCGGATTATTATCGACACTCAATTGAAAATTGCTCTTTTTCTTCTTTTCAGGGGTGTGGGGTGTATATTTTTTGAGATGGCGACGGGAAGGCCTTTTTTCCCCGGATCTACCGTAGAGGATCAGCTTCATTTAATTTTCAAGGTGAGGGCAACTTTGTTAATCATCACCGTCGTCAAACGCATGGAACGAAAGTGCTTTTTAAAGTCGCCAAGAAAGATACACGTGTGATTTTTCTGAAGGTCAGTTTGCCAAGCAGCATAAGTAAGCTTACTTATAAAGTCACATGCGAAGAAAAAAGAGGGTTGCTGTTTACCGTACCTTGGAAGACGTAGGGTCAATATTTTTTCCTAAACCCTTTACAGTTTCTAGAACCTGCCCAGTCCACAGCGTGCGGCAGAAAATTTCTTGTGGACTACTTTTTTCTTAACAAATCTTCGTGTCGAAAAACTGACTTATCGTCCCATAAACAAGAAGAAACTTGCATTTTCCTTTTTACCTCTTGAAAAAATTCATCGGGCAGCACAAAATTTCAATGTCGATTGATTTCCTTGAAGCAGCTGAAAGTTTCGATAAGTGTCATTCCTCTTGCTATTCTCGCTGTCAAAGGTCATACGCTCTGTGCCGTGCACAAGAGCACAGAACGGTAACTTTGGATAGGGCTGGAATCTGAAGCATTTAAGCATAGTCCATTTTTTTAAACAATGTATCAACTGCATTCCCTTTACTCTGAGAAATGCAACACTTTGCCACAGACTGGTAACTGAGTACTCAGTAAAATGTGTATGTAAGACAAGCCCAGTTCTTTTGAAACGGCAGACACTGAGCCCTGAAATAATTTTGTAGTTGAGTTTACGTGAAGTTTATTTTTTAGACGCTGGGAACCCCAACGGAGGAAACGTGGCCTGGAATCACAACTAACGAAATTTTTCTGTCAGGTAGCTAAATTAAAAGTTTAAAATGTTTTGTTTTATTTTAAATCAAGGGCTCCGTGTGTGTTCATGGACCAATTTTCAATTTTAAAGAGTCAAAAGATATCCTAAACTGCACATTGCGCTTCCTTATTGGCGAGAAAAACTCGCCTCTTTCTCTTTTTACGCGCTTCGGGCAGTTTTCTTTGCTCTGTGACTGGTCTAGAAGACTTGTGCAAAATTTTCAGCCAATCAAATACAAAACTAAAAACAATCGCTACTTTGTCACCCGCGATTTCCCGCGCTTCAGGTGGTTTCCTTATTTTTTTTAGTAGTGATAGGCTCCTTGTGTCACTTTTCTTTATTCTGATTGGTCATCGTGATTTCTTCGGATTTGGTTGCACAATAATTGCTCATGCTGATTGTATTTTCTCAACTTTTTTATTTTTCATTCTGTTTTCCAGGACGATTCCCATTTTACCCAAGGGAACATCTTATCAATCACTCTCCAAGGTACAATTGAGGCCACATTCGCTATTTACTACGATTTTTTTTTTTTTTTTTACTTGTACCATTTTTACTATATTGTTAAGAGTGTTAACTTCTAGAGTCTGCGCTTGTTCAGACTTCTGGTGTCATAGAAACACATCGGTCAAACACAAAGCGGGGGCAAGAAAGGTTCATTTTCTGTCAGCCGCGCGCTAATTTCGATGGAAAAAGAGGGAAATGTAGCATGGAAAAAAATAAATCAGATGGTGTATTTTTAATTTATTTACAGACTTGATAATTCAGGGCTCGACTTACTTGAAAGATTTGTCGAGGTAAGAGAGATGTTCTTACCATTTTGGACCGTTTCAGCCACAAGATCTTTGTATTAATTCTCCCGACTGTCTTCTCTATTCATTCCTTATGATATTCTATCGATACTGAGAGGAGAAATTAGTGGAGTATTTTACCCTTTAACTCATAAGATCTGAATGTTAATTCTCCCCACTTGCTGCTACAAATTTCCTTGTCAATTAGTTATAAGAATTTGGTGTCAGATCAAGGTAATAACCTCTACTTGATCAGTTTGAGTATTCTCATTAGCTGTTTTCGGGATAATTTAATGAAGATTAAAGGGAGAAGTTATCTGTTAATCACTTCTGACAGTTAAATGGTTACGAAAGTTGTATTAATCCGTGGAAATGGTTGGACTTGTAATTTTCAGGTTTTCATTTTAAATTGGTTTTTTTCTTTTCGTTTTAGTTTGTTGTGAAGGACAGAATATCAGCTTGGGATGCAATGAGACACGATTATTTCTTTTCTTTGGGCAAAAAAATTCAAGAGTTAAAAAATGGTAAGTCGTTGTGTATTTGGTGTATTAAAAAGAGCTTCCTTAAAACACGTTTGTGTATTTGGTTAATTTAAGAGAGCTTTCTTAAAATGCGCTGGATTTCAAATAGACACATTTTTACGGGCACGCGCAAGATAAAACACGCTAGGAGAGCTTTTCGTCGTTCGCGCGCGCCACTAGAAACGCGCGCTCCTATTATGCTGCGCGTGCTTGAAACCAGTATTTTCGGGCACAAATCCCGCGCGAGCTGCTTGGAGGTGACTAATGGTGAATATTCGGACCTTGAGCAGCCAATCAGAGCGCACTTTCAACGAAGAAGTCAGTGAGGAAAACCATCTTCTCTCGCTTGTTTTTCTTTTAAACTGAGGCTAACGATCCACTATTTTTTATTATTGTTTTCAGAGGAAACAATTTTTGGTATGGATGATATTAGGTTGGCTAAGGACCCGGGCTACAGACCTGTGGGAAGAACGGGTATTGGTAAGTAGTAATTTCCTTCTTTAGCCGGCAACTTGGATGTGGGTTGTACTTGAGTAGGAAATGAGAAGGTGCGAGGTGCCAAGTGAAAGTCGTCCGAGCAGCCCACCTGTAAGCGTTTTAGCCCTGGGATCCCCTGAGAGTGATCAGCATCAAATTTCCCCCCATAGTTTCAACCCCTGAATCAAACATTGAGGTCTGAGAATAAAAGAAATGATCACAAACTCAAGAAGCTTTCGATTGTTTGATAAATTCTCCTTGAAAGTGTTAAAGGAAATGTAGAGAGAACAGTATGGAGAACTTGCATGTTGATGTTTGAGTGTAAAGGTTTAAAACTGTATACAATCCGATAAACTTTATCACATTGATATACTGCTTAGGAGCTTTAATATGCATGGTTACACTCTGAGGTTTTGTCCGCAGTCTAAGAAGTTAAAACAACTTTTTTGGGGGTAATAAACAGTACTTGTGGTTGTTACAAGTCAGAGAAAAGTCAAGGGATTATAGATTTTTTTCAAGGTCTGGGAAAAGTCAGAGAATTTGACATCGTTGAGAGAAGTCGGGGACAATGAAATCTTAAGATAGATGTGCTTATTCATCTCGTCTTGAAGTCTTGCGGAAACTTTTTGTGATATCAGTGTTACTTACATGTAAATGTTTAGTGCAGTTAATAGATACATCGCAAGCATAACATTGTCACTTGTACACAAGTTTAAGTTGGTTTGCGAATAAAATATCACTTTTTTTCCTCTTTTGATCGTTCTCTAACATTTCAAATTCTTTGGTAAATTTGAGAACATAAAACGTTTTGGATTGGTTGAATATTGGTTAAGGAACTTGAACGACAAGCTGATGTTGACTTTCTAAGAATATAAAAAATATTTGGATGTGACATCCATTGTGCTAGGCGAAAGTACTTCTTTATCTTAGGGACTTCATTTCACTCAAGTCACATTGCATCCGTAGATTTAAGAGGAAAAACCTTGTTGTACAGCATAATGACCTGTGCAACGTGAATGCACGAAACAGCAGCTTTCATCTGAATGGTCACGCACTTGAGTTCTATTTACAGACCCGCAAAGTGTAATGAACAGTACTAAATGAGTGAATGTGTGCAATAAGGTCACGCGCCAAGGTACCAATTTTTTGCATTCTTTCTTCACTAGGTCCTGGTAGAAGACGGCAGAGTATGCTATTTTAGTACTCAGTACGTCTTGTATTCGCGCGGAGTCTGGTACTTGCAAGGAATCATCGGGGCTGGTTACCTCAGAAACCTACGTAGTTACGACTTCACACTTCACGCAATCAAAGGAAGGTTTTATCCAATTAGTTACAATTTTTATTAATTTTTATATGAAAAGAGAGAGTTTTATTAAACTCTGAATGTTCCGTTTTGGTAGAGGAAGTTCTTGGCGGAGAAAAACATATTTTGATTGATGGAGAGATGAAAAATTTAACTGAACAATAACTTGGATAAGCGATGAAAAAAGAATGGAAGCAGACCGAAAACTAAAATGACCGGCCAAACGACCGACAACTTTTTAAATTGAAACAGAATTAATTTCCTTCTGTTTGTTTCCGTTGCGAGGAATCTTTCTCTATACGTCATCAAACGGTCGATGCTCGTTGGAGCCAACATAGCGGTCAAACGTCTGCGCATGTGTGAATGCTGTAATGAGTTAGTGGCGAAGTTGTCTCCCACATTGCAAACAACCACATAAGTCATAAAGTCATGGTGTTTTAAACGAGTATAACTTTTTTTGAGAAGCTCAAAACAGAACGGTGAATCAGGAGGATACCCGTACTTGGGTACGCTTTGTGTTCTAAATGTCTCAAGGTTTTTCCCCTACCTTTGTTTCCTGTTACAGATTTCTAGTAACTTTTCAATTCTTTTCGTCTCTTCCAAGGGACAGCAGTTGTGTGTTACGTTTCCCTTTGAAATTTTGCGCGGGAAATTTGCGCGCGGCCCGCGCATGCCCAACGTTTGACCGCTGTGTTTTTGGAGTCAGTGTTCGATTCTGGCAGCGTGTTGTTCGTGACAGAAATCTCTTTCAAGAGCGAACGCAACCAGAGACCCATTTTAATACCTCCGTTCTTTTTTACTCGATGTTCTTTTCTTGTACATATTTTTATTTATTTTGCTGAAAATTATTCCAACGCAAACTTACGCGAGACGTTCTCTCTGTCTAAATTTCTTCACGAGGAATCTAACTGCATCGATCTTTCACAGAGGGGAGAGTGATTCCTCGAAGATTAAATATTTGATACAGTAAAATGTCGGTTATAAGCCCGCTCCCTAATTAAAGTGTCAACGATTTCTAAACGGAACTTGTGATCTGGTCACCCCTTCCCTCACCCCTCCCCCCACTTTTCATCTCCAACCGTTATACCTAACAAGGTTCTCCCTACCCCTCCCCGCTCATAATCCCCATCTGTTCCTTAGCTTTCTTCCTTTCATAAAATCATAATTGCCGTGTAGTCTGAACAAGCTTATGATGAGATTCTTCAATGGAAAGCAAAGAACTTGCAGGTGTCGATGGATGAACCCCAATTTTGTTTTATTATTGCTATTTGTTGTATCTTTTTTCTTACACAGAGAAATTAAATAAATTTCGTTATCACCTTATGTAAGCTTGACCGGATGTAACTTCCCTCCCCCCTCCCCTCCCCCCTCTCCTCCGCCCTTCCCACTCCCCCACCTCCATTATGTACTAGCCCTCTTTAAGCTCTTTTAGAGGTTGCATACGGCTCGGGCCTATAACCGAGATTTTACGGTATTCCGCCATTGAACGTAGTTTGATATTTCGGACGGTTTAATATTTGAAGCTTACACTGTACTTTTCACAATCTTTCACAACTTTCTTGATCAATTTTCTTACTCCTCCTTAGTGTTTTAAGTCGCATTGAAGTGTGTAAGTCCTAAGAAAATAGAATTCGGTCGCACTGGAAGGAAAAAAAGGGTTAATTTAAAACTGTTTTTGACAACTTGTATTTGAGGGAATAATTTCAGGACTCAGGGAGGAAGTTATGGCTAGTTTACACCATTTTCGTAATGGCAATCTTAGTCGGAAGTAACGTTGAAACGTTCCTATCGCGGCTAACAATTTGCAGCTTTAGTGTAAGCTAAGTTCCGCGATCGAAGAGGCTAAATCAATCAACTCATTCGTCACCAAACTTAATATTAGGAAAAATGCGCGAACTAGCATGGAAGGGAGACTTGGGCCCTAACTTGCATGTTGTTCACGTTCAGTTATGTAGCAACGACGAACTCGCTTAAGATTCCAATTGCAGTGATAATGTTTGTGCTACAAGTGTAAACCAGCCTCTATCCTTCACCTACAAAAGTTACTTGAACAGGTCAGTGCCAAATTCTTGAATCTAATGTAAGAAAATAAGTGTAGAAATGATGTAAAAAGTTCCGTTTTTTTAAATTGCTTTTCCATAATTTGTAGTCATAGAGGAGTAATAGGTAGAATAAAACACGCTTTAGATTTGTAACTAAGTTAATTCGTTTTAGGCCATGATGTAGTGAAATGAAATTTCCGCTCAAACCAAAATTTGAAAAAAGTTTTAAAACAGAAAACGAAATCGCCAAGAAAAAAAAGCAACTTTACAAATGATCACATGTAAAGCACCGTGGAATATCACAAGGCAATAAATCTAGAATTGAAGCTGTTCTTTTTTGAGTTGTTGTACGTTCTCAACCCAACCTGCTATTTCCATAGTAACGTTCAAACATCAGCCCCGTTCCTAGGCGTTTCATGAAGACTTTGAGAGACTGGAGACGAACGCTAAGCTCGACGGTCGTGGGTGTATTTCCTCTATTCTTTGCGCACTCAGTGCCTCTTTGCGCACTCAGTGCCTCTTTGCGCACTCAGTGCCTCTTTACGCACTCAGTGCCTCTTTGCGCACTCAGTGCCTCTTTACGCACTCAGTGCCTCTTTGCGCACTCAGTGCCTCTTTACGCACTCAGTGCCTCTTTGCGCACTCAGTGCCTCTTTACGCACTCAGTGCTTCTTTGCGCACTCAGTGCCTCTTTACGCACTCAGTGCCTCTTTGCGCACTCAGTGCCTCTTTGCGCACTCAGTGCCTCTTTACGCACTCGGTGCCTCTTTGCGCACTCAGTGCCTCTTTGCCAAGAGACGTGAGCGACGCGGAGGCATAATGGGTGGAGAAGCAGCTCGTTTTGTTTAGTTCTTGGGCAAGGAAAGTTACTCTCGAAAGTGCCTCTCCACACGTGTCTTTGGCGAGCGACCACTTCTATTCTATTCTCTTCTAGGCCTACATGATCTGAGTTAAACCGAAAAAAAGCTCCTACAGCTATGCGAGTCAGTAGAGAAACCTGAGATGAACGTTCCTAATCAGTGGGAGTAGCAGTACCCCTATTCGCTTCATACAACAAACCGGATCACGGGTTTTAATGAACAAAATTGCAACCTCAATTTTAATATCAACTCGAGATTAATTTACTACAGAAACATAAGCAACGATACCCAGCTCCCTATTTTTCCGGACGAAAAAAAAGCATTCAAAACAGACATTATTAGTCCGTTTTTTTCTTCTTTTTCTTCTTTCTTTTTTAAGGGAAGCGAACTAAAAGGTGATTGGGTGCGAAGTTCGAATCACACGCCTTTCACCTACTCGCGCATGACTAGACCCTTGCACTCATCTTGTGCGCGACTTTTCTAGAAAAAAAATAATAAAAAAAATACCCTTTGATAATCTTTTTAGTTTCAGAGCGCTTTCCTAACTAAAGAATGGTTTTTACAATTACCGATATCTATTCATTTTTTCACGTGCGTATTCATAATCGTGATTATGCATCTCTTTCGCGCTGATTCTGGTTTAGCTGGGTGTCTGTAGAACGTAATTGATTGCATCACCGTCGGTGATTCTACCATCCCAGCATCTCGACAGTGTTCGAAAGTTGGGTTCCTGGTTTGAATCCAATATGTGTATATCCATTCACATTGGTAAGATCTGTAGCAAGGCTTTTCATGGCTTGTATAAAATTCGCCAAATTAGGAAATTCCTTAGTCCTGAGTTCACGAAGACTCTTGTTCACGCATTTGTGACTTCACATTTGGATTACTGTAACTCTCTTCTCTTTGGTGTCCTAAGTACCCGACAGATCGTCTTCATGAGGTGCTTAACGCCGCTGCTCGATTTATCTTTAGGATTCCAAAGTTTGATCACATTTCGTCCGCCTTATCTCATCTTCACTGGCTTCCTGTGACTTATCGCGTTCATTTTAAGTTGTTACTCTTAGTTTATAAATCTCTTAACAATCAAGGCCCACAATCGTTAATCGTTTTAATATTTGTATAGAATTTTTTGTAAAGCGCTTTAGAATATAGAAATGTAAACAATTATTATTATCATAATAGTCTATAAACCTGTTTTTCTCAACAACTGGGCCTTTTGCAGCCACACTCCATATCTGGTCAGCACCTACGTTCCTGTGATCAGGGCCTTCTTAGATCCCAAGAACTAATTCTAAGACCTTTGGTGATCGCACCTTTATTCCACTTCTGTGGAATAAACTGCCGCTTGAAATTCGAAACAGTCAGAGTGTAGCCATTTTCAAGTCCAAGCTTAAGACACATCTGTTCAAGCTGGCTTATAATTTGTTTTAACATTTTTAATAGCTTTAACATGTTATGTATTCTTAATATTTTTCATATTTCATCGTTTATTGTTTTAATATTTGTATAGAATTTTTTGTAAAGCGCTTTAGAATATAGAAATGTAAACAATTATTATTATCATAATAGTCTATGAACCTGTTTCACAACAACTGGGTCTTGACGTGAAAGCAATAACCGGAACATTTTATACTGACACCATACAATTTATTTCCTCTTACAACTTAAAGAGCGGTATTATAAATAGTTATTGTTTTCTACGGGAACTTGCTCACAGAGTAAAACTAATAAATATTTTTCAAGTCGATTCTCGCACGGCAAAACAGGTAGAGTTCCTACGACTCTAAGGGGGTTCTCCCCTCATGGGTTCAGCCTGTCGAAAAGGTGTTTGACTTTTTACCACCCAAGAAAGATAATGAAACAAAAACGATGCTGGTGACTTTCCGTTTAAACTCTTAACTGGCTGAGCGTGAAGCAAACAAAACTCTGAGGCAAATCTGTGACGTGTCAACCCGAAATAAATGGCTTGGATTTTAAATTTATATTTATCAAAAATTGAAGAGTTTTCAGCAAACCACGTTGTCTGTCGAAGAGTCGACTCTTATTGAATGCATCAATAAGTACAAATGCGTTTTGATGATTTATTAGAAATTACGAAGTGCTCGTGGCTAACACAGTTTTAAACAAGAACTATTTTAATGCATGATGTAAACAGCACTATAATCAGTTTACAAGTGCGTATGGTTTGCCGCATCTTGACAAACGTTGGCTGAAGCGGACGTCAAAATCTAACTCTACAAAATCTAACCCGAGTATCGACTTAATAAACAAAACCGTGATAACTTGCCAATCATTTGTTGGGCGTATAATTGAACTGAATCAGTTTACTAGAAAGGCAAAAATTGCCTTTGGCAACAAAACGCGGGGATTCCAAAATTTTAAAACGACTTAGGGTAAACCCCGGAAATTAGAGGTGGAATCCTTTGGCAAAGTATACTGGCTGGTCTTATGAATACCTCAGGCGTTGACGACTCTTGGTAGGTTAGAAATTTTTAATGCTAATGCAACAGACGAAACAAAAATTTGTCAGTGTGTCCCTTTTGTTCGGACAGTTCTAGTTTTTTCCCCTAGTGCGGAAAAGCCCTAAGGGGGCCTTTAGTATATTGATTTTAGTTCAATTACACACTTGTCGAAACCCACACGACAACAGTCTAGCACGGTTACGTTTAATTATTCGGTTTTGTCCAGGTTATAATCCAAGAAAAATTTTGTGGGCGGTGCGTCTGAAGATTTTTCCGCTTCGGCCAAAATTTTTCGCAACAAACCAACCGCACTTGTAAAATGTTGGTGATGTCAGGAAATATATCTATTATATGGAATGTTTGCAGCTATGATTTACACGAATTAAGACTTTAGAATTCTTGGTTGGTCCACTTCAGAGTTTACATCTTCTTTCCCTAAACAAGACCGTCATCTGCTGCATCTTCTGAGCAAGGAATGGGGGGTTTGACTAACAAGATAAAGGAAAAAGAGCAAATATTACTTAACAACTGATATAAAAGTTTAATGAAAGAGATGTAAAAAAATCAACAACATATATATATATATATATGATTAAACGACTGTAGCTGGTAATTAGCTCTCCGTATTAGAAAGTTAGGAAAGATGCAGGAAAAGTTAACTTTACAATTATTTGCGTGCAAAGATTGGAAGGTAGAAAAAATGACGATATGTCGTTGGCAACGTGAAACTCAACAAAATGATAAGAAATATTACTGAAATTCAACTTAGATCAAAACGATTTTGTCACGTATCGAAACGAAGCTGGTCTCACCTTCAAAATAATTATGTTCAACAGCGTTACGCTCATCCTGGTTATTCCACATTATGATGAACTGATATAACCACAAGAAGAACGAGAGCCACAGCTTCACGATTCCCAATAAGCATCGAGATATCCTTTTAAGACCTTGACGAATTATGATCATCATCCTTGGAGCAGGAGTTCGGAGGAAGGTTTCTGTCGTTTTCCTCTTCAAGTTCAGTTAGTCATTTGCAGAAAGCCCAAGAATGCA